TTACCTTAAGATAGGCTTGGCTAAAGGCTAAGTCACCTCATTAGGAACTGCAGCACTCCTCACTGATAAGTCTTTTATTATCCTGCTCTACTCAGTGTCCCTCCTTTTGTATCCCAGCTTATCCCTGGCATTTGAGTCCCGTGGAATAAAGTATGATTGGGTAAGCGTATGAGCGTGATTCTCTTATATGGTACCAATGAGGAAAAGGTTGTTTCATGAAGATTTGTTGAATTGACAAGTTTAATTTTTCTTAATGTTGGCCATTCAATCTAGAATTAGTTACATCTTGGAGTCTATATAGTCATTTTCTTATTCAGTGTAGACATAAAGTGCTTTGATTGACAAAACTTATCATGCCATTTCTGTTAAATTATGTTTTTAAACTCTTTTTAAACCTATGCTCAGTCTTGAAAAGATTTTTTCTATCACCCATTCTCGACCACCTCGTCCACTTTCAAACTGCAAATGGAAAATTTTAGTTTGAAAAGATCAGACTTCTTTGCATTGCCTCAGTCCTGTCTACCCTCGTTATTTCTAGCATCCCAGTATGTTACCAACCTAAGAGCCTTTGCTATTTTGAAAGGCATAAGCAAAAAGCATTTAATTTTTGCTGGGCTAATGTTTTAAATTTAAAATGCAATGTTCTAAAATGAAAACATACCTGGTAAGCAAGTAAGTTAACTTTGCTAATACCATTTAGAGGTCTCCATAGGCAAACTTTTAAATGAAGCAATTATCATTATGGTCTATTTACAAATAATAGAGTGATAGATGATTACAGTTTTTCCTTATAATGCAGTCATGTGCCAATACAGTTGAACTATGATGGATCAATATACAATGGTGGTCCTATAGATTATTAATACTAATTTTTCTGCATCTCTTCTATGTTTAGGTATGTTTAGGTACCAATACTTATGTGGTGCAATTGTACATATCCAGGATAGTAACATGCTGTACAGGTTTGTAGCTAGAGCAGTAGGCTAGACCTATAGATGGTATATAGAGCTATGCCATATAAGTTGTGTAAAGTATATCTATGATGTTTGAATGATGACAAAATCACTAAATGTCTCAAATGTGTCCCGTCATTAAATGCACATACTGTGTATAATTTTCACACACAACAGGTTAAGTTGTAAAATATATTGTCAGTAAATGATTTCTTTTGAAAATCTTTGGTATTTATTGTGTTCTAAAAGTCTATAATAGTGTTGTCCTTATAAAATAATATCTTATACCCTCCCAAACGGGAAAATATATTTTTAGGTGATTACCCTCCAGTGTAGTATATACAGCATACTTTTTTTTCCAGGTAACCACATTATATTATAAATCTGCCTCAGTCCTTTCCTTTGAACTAGAGGCTGCCATACTATCATAGTTTTCTCCGTTATCTATTATTGACTTTTCTCCTTTCAGCAAAAATTATTTTCGAGTTCATGCCTTTAATTTTGTTTATGTGTTGGTGTTCAGCTGGCAGCGGCTGGTCGCCAGGAAGAGTTCTGACCACAACAGCCTCTCCACTGTAAGCTCTGGGTTCAAATGACGTCTTGCGTCAATTCAGCCTCAGCACAGAAAAGAAGCAAGGATACCACGGAGCAGGGGCTGCAGCAGAGAGCTGTCCATCTGCTTTCGATGGGTAAGATTTTTTTATATGAAACTCGTGACCTTTTTTTTTTATTTCAGGCTTTGGTAGCATTGAAGACTTGGAATAGGCAGGCACTTTACAAATTAAGAGGAAAACAATTAAAATTGACAGTTGAAATAAAGGTTATAAATCGTGAATTGGTTATCCTTATGTTTGGAAAGTATAGATCATAGGAGCTTCAAAAATATAGCTAATATTTTAAAGAGCAAGATTATGGAATTTATAAAATATTTGTCATAGATACATAAATGTATACATATATATGTTAGCTGCTTATATTTGACATTGGCATTACAGTTCAACCCTATTCAAATAGTAATAAACTTCCAATTTTTCTTTGTGTATCGACTAGGTGACTTTAAATTTCAGGTAACAAATTATAATTGAAGCGATCTTAAACAATAAGATTTATTGGCTCTTTTAACTAAAAAGTTTGGAGATTATACATCCTTTGTGGTCTGTTTTCCCTCCCTACCTTCCTTCTTTTCTTTCTGCTTTATCAATCATGGTGCTAACATTGTCCTTAGGCAAGCTGCTACTTAATCTGTCATGCCCAGAGCAGAAGTTCCCTAATTACTTAAACTTCTTTTTAATTATTTGTTTTTCATTGTTTTATAAGTCTTTTGTAGATTACCTATATAACTTTAAAGAATATGCTCATATTTGTATTTCTTGTTCCATCAACTTCAATCAGTATCTCAACTCCCATACTTTCCCTATACCTTCTGCTCTCTTAGAATTATCAGTTTTATTTTTACATTATTAAAGGTAACACATATGTTCTCATCAACATCCACAAGCAAGTCTTATGTACCTGTTCTGTAAGTTGGCTTTAAAAATTGAAAACTATAAATAACATTTATTGTGTTATGAGGAAATAAATGTTTGCTGCCAAGACAGATTGTGTGCTGTGACCTCATTTTTTCCCAAAGATACACTGAATTTGAGACTCAACTATTAGGGACCACTTGAAGGAGAATGTTCCTGTTATACAGAAATGAATTCTTTTCTTGCAGTCCAACCAGTTACTTACAATTAGGCCGCATTTGAGTTTGCTTTGTAATTTGGACAGTGTTTAAGAATAATGTGTACTTCTTATATCTTCTAGTTTTGCTGCCCCTTCAGTAATATTATTATATGGAGTTTCTTATTTTCTGGTGACTTCTTTCCAGTACTCTGGATTGGTTGCTATCTTGGCCTCTGGCTCAGCTGTCATCTCGAAATTCCCCCATTTACTGCTTTCCTTCATTGAAAGCAACCTTTCCTGGATCCTCTTTTTTTTATTTATTCTTTTGCTTTGCATATACACATTCTGAAATACATTTTAGAAATTGTGTGTAGGAGTCAAGCTTTTTGAAGCCTTACTTGTCTAAGAATGTTTTTATTCATTAGGTAGCACAAATTCCTTGTAGGCTTACAGATTTTCAATTAATGTCCTTTAATAGCACTTTTCACTTACACTGTGCCTGATATTTGGCCCGAGAGCCTCCGAAGTTTTCCTGACATTAAATACTTTAGTCCTTTTCAACAAAATATTGATATTTCAACTTAGATCATTTAACTTATTTTTCTGTACTTATATTTATGGTTTTTTATTTATAAGGAGTGAGAAAAGGGATAAGAATTGAAAGCATGGGCTCATTTTTTTTCTCGTTATCTTAAACTCAAAACTTAAGAATGGGTATTGTACTTAAGATTAATATTTGAAATGTATAGATTTTTCTCTTAAAAACAAGATTTGTCTTAAGATACAAAAAAATGATAGAAGTCTTTATAGTTTAGTCAATGTAGAGAAAAACCAGGTTTTACTATGTTGTGCAATATTTTAAATCTTTTTATTTGTAGCCTTTTTATTTTAGTAAAATATTATTTTACCCTTCTAGTCTTATATAAACTAGAGGACCATATTTAAAATTTTTAAGTTATTCCTGGTAATGCTTCATTAAGAGTAATTTCAACCTTAGATAAACTTAAGTTATTGATCAGGTTTTAGAATAATAAAATCAAAAATTTTTTAAATACAAACTTTGTCTTCTTTTTTCTTCCTTGCTGTGCTGCTGTTGCTTTATACCAGCCCGAAGCAGTCGTATTCCTCGACCAAGTGTGAGTCAAGGATGCAGCCGGGAAGCTAGTCGGGAGAGCAGCAGGGACACAAGTCCTGTTCGCTCTTTTCAGCCCCTCGGTACGTGTTTCAGCAGGTGTGAGGTGCATTGCTTTCCCCTGTGTTATCACCAGTCAGTGACTTCAACATACATGGGATTTAGCTTTCTTCATTGACTATGTCTTTGACCCTATCTCTTTTCTGTCATTTTGAGGAAAGACTGAGAAGGAAATTGTATTTTTGGGAAACTCTTTTGACTTGACTTACTTGTGTTAAATGAGTAAGTTAGTTATTGTATTAAAAAATTTCCTTCAAGGCCGGGCGCGGTGGCTCACGCCTGTAATCCTAGCACTCTGGGAGGCCGAGGTGGGGCGGATTGCTCGAGGTCAGGAGTTCGAAACCAGCCTGAGCAAGAGCGAGACCGCATCTCTACTATAAATAGAAAGAAATTAATTGGCCAACTAATATATATATAGAAAAAAATTAGCCGGCATGGTGGCACGTGCCTGTAGTCCCAGCTACTTGGGAGGCTGAGGCAGGAGGATTGCTTGAGCCAAGAGTTGAGGTTGATGTGAGCTAGGCTGATGCCACGGCACTCTAGCCAGGGAAAAAGAGTGAGACTCTGTCACAAAAAAAAAGAAAAAACCACAGAGACATAGTAGTGAGTTAAGATGTTTGTATGTAGTCATTTTTATAGATTTCATTGACATCTTAAAGATTGCACATAAATGTTGAATAAATAGCTGATGAATTAGATTTATAGGTTTTTGGCTTTGATGAAAATAATGGACAAATGCGGCCTAGGTCATAGATTTGATTCTCATGTTTGTAAATTAACTTTTTCTTGTTGTTTTATGGGTTACCTTTTGAAAATCGCAGAAAGTAGGCCTACTCTAGAAAGGTCTATAAAAATCTTCATTTGCAAAGAAGAATTACACAGTTGCGTTTTTCTTTTTTCACCATTTTCCACCAAGGTTTAAGAATGAAATATAGCAAATAAAATTGTTCATATAGAATTTTGCTATTTTCAATTGTCTAGTTTCAGCTTGTTCTCTGAGTCATTAGGTTACCTCAGAATGTTTGTTTTTCTCAAAATGAGCCATTTCAAAGTTAATTTAAGGCTATCAGACTAAAAGGTATCTTTTGTTTTCACCCTTTCATTTTAGTCTTGGGTGGGGGTTGCAAAGTAGGTCTTAACATCAGCATTGGCAGAATTTGTTGAAATATTGTTTTATTTCTCTTATTTAGGAACAGCATCTGAAGATGGTAAGAATTGTATATTTTGTTAGTAATACAAACACCTCAACATTACTATTTTCATCAGTAGTATTAAATATTAAAACTAAAATAGGCTAATTTCTTTGCAAATCTTTATAATTTGCCAGTTGTAGTAACTTCTGCTTTCATGTGTGGTTGCATTAGTTATATGTATAGATTTTTTTTTAATTCTTCCATCTTGCTGTTTTGTTTTTTATCTTGGATCGTCTCATGCTGGAAACACATGGTTGCTTAACATGTTTAATAATCTCTAGTTTAAAGTTGCTATATAATTTCATTTTTCCCAGTAGTGACATTAATATTCTTCTTTTTTGCGTGTGGTTTTTGTTTTTTAATTTATGCCAATTCATTTATAATTTGGGGAGCATGCACCATTGCTGTATCATTGGCGCTTAAATATTGTTGGAGTTTAAATGTATTTATTGAGTCTGTTTTTAAATGTATGGTTTATTTTTGAATGAGTGACTAGAGAATTGGTTACAGATTGAAAATGAGTTTGATATTACAACAAAATTGCTGCATATATTTCACTGAGCTGGTTCACCTTAAAAATAATTATTTATTGCTTTTGAATTTGTAGAAAGGAAAATAATTCACTGTTTATACTTATCCTGCCTGAAGGCTGTTTTATTATATTAAAGCCTCTGATTTGGAACACATTTTTTTCTTCTAAGTTTTACTTGGATGACATTTTCTTATGATAAAAAAACAAATAGATTTAACTGTCTTTGGTACCATATTTACTCTGATGTATTTAAAATAATTTTATATTTTGTTTTAAATTTGAATACTCCTTTAAAAACATGATTTCTGGCACTGTGGCATTGTAATTTAACATGTTAGTATCAAAATACTTAATATATACTAATTTGTTTGGAATATAGAAAGTGGATGAATTCTCCATTTTAAAAATAATAATTTGGTTGTTTTTGTTTTACTTCTTAGTCAAGAGAACTTTGTGTCCTACTCAAAATAGACTCTAAAAGGGTGAGATGCCTGAACTATGGGCTCACTGGAGACTTTGAAGTTAATAGAATGCTGATATTCTACCAATTATGCTCTGTTTTTGGTTCTATTTTATTCCCAGTTCTTATTATTCTCTTATCTTCCCTCACTCATTTCTTAACTTTATAATTTCTCCTTACTCTTGAGTATATTTTTTCCTAATTAATATGGCCATATCAGGTTAGCCAGTATTTTGTATATGTACTATAAATTGTACTTTGTAACTAAAAAGGATTCTGACCCTTTCTTTATGAGTATGTTTGGGGTTGGTTGATAGTGGTTGGGACTATTGCTTAAGAACCCCAAAATACCTACTAGTAATATATTCTATCATGGCTTGTTTTTACTAATGGCGGCCTTCTTAAGCACTTAATAAACATATCTCATTTGATTCAAGAGCTCTAGAAATGGGCTAAGGTTGTTTGTAGCCTATTTTTATGGAGAGAGAAGAAATAGAGATGGAGTGCAACTGGGAGACAGAAGGAAATATATTTAGAAAAGCACCAACTCTTATGTGATACGATTTTTTCAAATCATTTTATAAATGAAATTGGTTGGGAGAGCAGTAAACATGTCCGTATACATCTGTAGTAATCTGATATAGAAAGATTAAATATTTTGCCTAATAATATCTCTTCCTGCACATCCCTTTAGAAGTACATTTTTAGTCAAAAGGATTGTTTGACTTATTGTTTCTAAGATTAGACTCATGTTTAAAACTGTAAGGTGGATTTGAGAATAAATTTCCTAGAAACTGAAATTTTAGAATTGGAACTACCAATTAAAAAACAAGTGTCATGCCTATGGTAATTATCTTAATTATAGTTATAGGACTAATAATACCAAGCTAATAATGTAAATCTTTTAGTTTGACTTTATTTATTCTTACCATTGAAGGAAAGTTAACTTATAGCACAAGAAAAAACAATGGTTTTTTTTAGATTTTGAGAGAAATATAATCTGTAAGTTATGGTTACTTTATTACAGAGTTTGATAATACTGGAAATAATGAGATTTTCTTCTCTCCTCACACCCCCCCCCCGTTACTAAATAGTATCATAGAAAAATCTCTTTAATTGTGTAAATATTTTATTCCTTAGGCCGGGTGAGAGCAAAGCTTTCAGCACCACTTGCTAGCATGGGAAATGCCAAGACAGATTCTAGAGGAAGAAGTCGAACAAAAATGGTGTCTCAGTCACAGCGTATGTATTGCTTATCAGTCCTCCCATATTTGTCAATATGTTAGGATAAGTGTGTTGCTTGTATATTACTATATTAGGACATTGACCAGTGGATAAAGACAAAGCTAATTTCAAAAAAGAGAAGCCACATACTGAGTTCTTGTTCTGTACTTTAGGTTCATCATCACCTGACAAAAATGAAGGTATTTTTTTTTTCAATGTTTTGGGTCAGTTGTTGTGCATGTTTTGGAATATTTTGAGTGGGTGTTGTCTTGTCTTTGGTGTGTTATTAGGGCTGCATCATTGATATCTACCACTAAGACAGAAATACTTCATCTGCTGTACAAGTTTTTGCATGGAGATATTTTAAGTAGCACAAATCTTTAGCCTTAAGGTTTTCACACTCCGAAACTTGCAAATGTGGAAAATTTTGCTTTTTAGAGGCAAATAATTGCCATACGTTAGCATCAAAATCTGGTTGCCAGGCCTGGTGCAGTGCCTCACACCTGTAATCGCAGCACTGGGAGGCCAAGTTGGGGAAGATCTCTTGAGGCCAGGAGTTCGAGGCCAGCCTGGGCAGCATAGCAAGACCTCATCTCTATAAAACAAAAGCAAAAAGACAAAAAACAATATTTAATGAGCTGGCCATGGTGGCATGCATATTTAGTCCTAACTACTTGGGAGGCTGAGCCCAGGAGTTCAAGGTTACAATGAGCTATGAGCACACCACTGTTCTCCAGCCTGGGCGACAGAATGAGACCCTGTTTCTAAAAGGGGGGGGGGAGAAAAACGAAACATCTAGTTGTGTCTTAGATTATATTATTCAAGAACAGATATGTGGTATCTTCCTATGCTCCCCTTAATCTATTAGATTACCTTTTTTTTGGTTAGCATTTTTGGCAGGTATATACTGGCTTATAGTGACAAAATATAAATTGAAATGACCAATTCTGTTATATTCCTTCTTAAATTTAAGATTTATATTATTGCTATTTTATTAGAAGCTGAGTGCCTCATAAGCACAATTATTAAAAAGCACAATTTTGAGGTCTAGGTAAAATAAATGATCTATTTCTACATGTTCCAGAATAGTAAAATGTACACTTACAGCATTATTAATTTAAAACCATTTGTTCTCATTCCTTCTTTACTGAGAGATTTTCATTATATACTTGGCTATGAAATGAATTTAACTTTCTTCTGTTATTTAGGTGATTTATTAGGATATGGATGTCCTATTTGTCTGTTTTTTAACCTAATTCTTGAATCTTGGAATCAGGGAAGAGAACTGGGCTTACAGGGGGTAGAGTGGTGATTACACAAGTCCTTCCTAGCAGACTCTTCTCTTCTCCTCTTTCCAAATTCAGAAAATTCAGACACAATAATGATGAGGAGCCCAACAAGAGTCCTAAAAAAGCAGAAGTACTCAGTAAAATTGATTTGCAAATTGAGGATTGTTTACAAATAGGAAAAATGACAAATGTACTCTAGGCAAGGGCTTTTCTCTCAACCAAATCAGAAGTAGTTCATATCACATTTTTCTCTGATTTTTGGATTTTAGAGTAATTTTTAGAATAACTTAATCTTTAGCAGTGTAGCGTAGTAGTAGAGAGCCTTGCTCCTCCATATATGCTGCCCAGACCAGCATCAGCATCACCTGGGAGCTAGTTAGAAATGCAGAATCTCATGTGTCATCACAGACCTACTGAATCTGATCTTTAACAAGATCACAAAGTGATTTGTGTCACAATAAAGTTTGACAAATACATACTGGTTTAGATCATGGATTCTGGAGTCACACTGCCTGGGTTTGAATCCTAGCTCTTTTAGGTTATTTAAAGTTACTGTACTTCTGTAAATTCAGCTGTAAAATGAAGAGGATTATTACCTTCTACTTCATAGGATTGTTGTGAAGATTAAATGATATAGTATTTTTAATACACTTAAAACAGTACCTGGCCCAGAGTAAGCACTATATGTGTTAGCTGATAGAATTATCCTCATTATTATTTTTTATCAAATGTCAACTGAATTTTATACTGCTGTTGTGTACTTCTGTACCTTGTTATTCTTATTGCCTTCAGAAAACAGGAATAGATAATGAAGTTAGAAAATTTAAAGCATAAAGATAACAACCAGAAATTGTCCATGTCTAGGATGTGAGGATAAAACTTAATTGTGAGATATTAGTTCTTTTCTAAAATAACTCTAAGGTTGATTTCAGGGCAAAAATATTCAAAGAGCTTTTTTTAAAAATGTATATATATTACTAAAGGGACCTCCTTTTTAGGTACTTTATAACTAAAGATCACTTCACTAAAAAATAGAATAATTTTTTTGCATTTGCTTTTTCACTTTGAAACCCAATCCACAATACTCCAAATTCTCTCCTAAAGTGTGAGAACACAATGATTGGCTTTTGAGACCTAGCAGGACCTTAATTAAGATCAGAAGACTTTCCCACTATAAAATCATTTAGGTTTCAAGTCATATTGGAGGGGTTTGTGTTTGTTTGCTTGCTTATTTATTTGAATGACTATATGTTCCATTCCAAATTCTTTTGTAAAAGAGATATTATGTAATTTGTATGCAAGTTTCTTTAAAACATATTTGCACAGAAATATTACTGTGATCTCCATCTTCACTTTGTCATAAAGTAATTCATTAGGGTTTGCATGGTCTTGCCGTATTTTTGTATCACCATTTACGAAAAAAGTCTCTTGGATCAAAGCAGGTGTATTCTGATGGCTAACCAAAATAAATAAAAAGCAGACCCAATGAAGAGACTTCTAGATGTATATTTATGAAAAAATTGTGTCTCTTTTTGTTGGTACCTACTGGATGTATACAAATGATTGTACGGCCTGTCAGAAACTCTGTCTCCCCTCCTCCCACCTTTCATTTTTTTTCTGTGCACCTCAAAATGAAATTTGTAGCTTTTTATGTAATTTTTCTTCAGCTATAAGATATTGTAGTTGTTCCTTATGTGTAGTTTTAAATTAAATGTTTAAATAACAAAAACTTAAACATTTAATTATTTAGATTTTGGACTGTCGGTGGTAGAAAAGCTGAAGAATTTACATTTACTTTTGCAACTTCATTTCATCTGCTTTGTACACGAGTGTCTAATTTCAGTTTATCAGCTATAAAAACTACTACTAAATGTACTGCTTTTGTTATAGACATTTGTGCTTTTGAGATTTTTTCAAGTTTTTGCTTTTTTTTTTTTTGCTTTAGGGTTTTTTTATTTTCTGAGAACTGACTAAAGCTTTCTTATTTCCATCTGCCATCCATTTAAAAACTGCTCCTTCCCTCTTCATGGATTATAATCCTTACCCTAATTCTGCCTTTACACTTGTTCAGGATCACAATCTGCTAATACCATTGGTGGTAAGAATCTGTAGACTTTATGTGTGCATCTATGTTTTGATCACCTATTTTCATTACAAAGAATGGGTTCTATTCAGCAGAAATTCTTAACATACTACTAACATACTACTATTACTCTGTAGTCAGTTGGGACAAAAATTGCCAGTTATGATTTTTCTTTGGCCTGTTTTTATTTTATTACCAACTAAATTGTTTTAGTGATATAAGTTGATAGTACAGAAATAAACATTCAAAAAAAAGGAGCTTTAGTTATGCTTTGCAGTGCCATAAAAAGTATAAGATGATACTTTGAAAATTTTAGGCAGCTCAAGAGAAAATACATATCAAAGTTCAAGTTCTACAAATTAGGGTGTTTTCTGGTAGCATTATGCCCCTTTTCATCAACTCTGTGGTTTTCCTAAAAGATATAATTGGCCTTGGTGGCTCTTTGTTGGGGGAGGAGCCTTGGTATTTTCTCCTAAATAGAAATAATTCCAAAATGAGTCATAGACACTGGACTTATCATACTCTTGGTAGGGATCAGGAGTATTAGAGAACAGAGGGTAATGATTGAGGCAAAATTAACAATGTCAATTTTATTACCTAGGAGAGAGCATGAATGAATTTTAATATGTAGAGTGAACTTACATAATTTTGATAAATTCAGTAAATCTAGAGTAGAAGGGTGTTACTCAGTTTCTAAACTTCATGTTTCCTGTCTGCTGAATAGACCCACATTTCAAGGAATTCTCCAATCTCCTACCAACACTCCACCCCCCAAATTTATATTGATTTAAACAAAATGCCATATTGTATGTGCTCAGTTCATTATTTATACTTTGTATATTGTTGCGAGTTTTCCCATAAAATATTCCATTGGCGTATCTTGCATTGTGAGTTTGTGGCATGTTGGGTGTTTGGATGTTTTGGTGTATACATTTAGTTTAGACTCTGCATGGAGAAAACAAGTGCCATATGAGTATCCTTGAGGTTACATCTGAAAGAAACTGGATTCAAAGATTCTTCACCTGAAACATCATGACACATTCAAATAAGATATCATTTTAAAATAGATTTGAATAATTTCCCTACAATAATTTAGAATTCTTTCTACTCAAATAATAAATTGTTAATTTCATTGGAAACACTGCTTTGTCTTACAATGTAGCTATCACCAGTGGAAGATAGGTTTCATTTTGTGTGCTGGTAAAGTTTAATAATTAAGCAAGAATGCAAATTGTACTCAGCAAGACCATGCCAAGAAAACTGTAGCAAGGATCACAGATCAGCAGCCCATGGACCACATCCAGCCTGCCCTCATTCATGAATTATTAGGCCTACACAACATGATAAAAATCGGGAAATGTCAAAGCTTTCACTTTTGAAAAATACCAAGCCCTGCCCAGTATTACCTCAAGATAGAGCTGGCTAGAACTAAAGTCACCTCCCACTTAGGAAACTGCAGGCACTCCCCTCTTGATCAAAGTCCTCTTATTATTCCCTGCTCTACACTCAGTGTCCCTCCCTTTTTGATATCCCATGCTTATCCCCATTGGCATTTGAGTCTCCGTGGAAATAAAGTATGATTGGGTAAGCAGTATGAGCAGTGATTCTCTTACTGTGGTACCCAATGAAGGAAAAGGTTGCTTTCATGAAGATTTGTTTAATTGCAAGTTTAATTTTTCTATAATGTTGCCATTCAAAATCTAGAATTAGATTACATCTTGGAGTTATATAGTCCATTTTCCTATTCAGTGTAGACATAAAGTGCTTTGATTGACAAAAACTTAACTCATGCATTTCTAGCTTAAAATTATGTTTTTAAAACTCTTTTTAAAACCTATGCTCCAGTCCTTGAAAATATTTTTTCTACTCCACCCCCATTTCTCTGACCACACCTCGTCTACTTTACAAGACTGCAAATTTGGAAAATTTTCTAGTTTGGAAAAGATCAGACTTCTTTGACACTTGCCCTCAGTCCTGTTCTACCCTCAGTATTTCTATATCCCAGTATGTTACCACCTAAGAGCCCTTTGCTAATTTGAAAGCAAATAGCAAAAAGCATTTAATTTTTAGCTGGCCTAATGTTTTCAACATTTAAAATGCAATTTTCTAAAATTGAAAAATATACCTAGTAGCAAGATAGGTAACTTTGCTATAACCATTTAGAGGAATCTCCATAGGCAAACTTTTAAAATGAAGCAAATTATCATTATTGTCTATTTAACAAAAATAATAGCAGTGATAGAATTATTACAGTTTTCTCCTTATAAATGCAGTCATGTGCCACATAACAGTTTGAACTATGATGGATCACATATACAATGGTGGTCCTATAAGATTATAATACTAAATTTTTACTGCATCTCTTCTATGTTTAGGTATGTTTAGGTACACAAATACTTATTGTGGTTCAATTGCCTACAATATCCAGGATAGTAACATGCTGTACAGGTTTGTAGCCTAGAAGCAGTAGGCTAGACCATATAGTATAGTATATAGTAAGCTATGCCATATAAGTTTGTGTAAGTATATTCTATGATGTTTGAATGATGACAAAAATCACCTAACAAATTTCTCAAAATGTGTCCCCGTCATTAAATGACACATGACTGTGTATAACTTTCTCACACACAACAGTTTAGTTGTATAAAATATATTGTCAGATAAATGATTTCTTTTGAAAATCTTTTATATTATTGTGTTCTAAAAGTCATAATAGTGTTGTCCTTATTAAATATAATATCTTATACCCTCCCCAAACTGAAAATATATTTTAGGTGATTTACCGTTCAGTGCTAGTATATACAGCATACCTTTTTTTTTTTTCCAGGTAACAATTATATATAAATCTTCCTCAGTCCATTTCCTTTGAACTTAGAGGCTGCCATACTATCATAGTTTTCTCCGTTATATATTTTGACTTTTTCTCCTTTCAGCAAATTATTTTCGAGTTCATGCCTTAATATTTGTTTATGTGTTTGGTGTTCAGCTGGCAGCCGGTCTGGGTCTCCAGGAAGAGTTCTGACCACAACAGCCCTCTCCACTGTAAGCTCTGGTGTTCAAAGAGTCCTGGTCAATTCAGCCTCAGCACAGAAAAGAAGCAAGATACCACGGAGTCAGGGCTGCAGCAGAGAAGCTAGTCCATCTAGGCTTTCAGTGGGTAAGATTTTTTTATATGAAACTCGTGACCTTTTTTTTTTTCTTAATTTCAGGCTTTGGTAGCATTGAAGACTTTGGAATATGAGCAGGCACTTACAAATTAAAGGAAAACAAACTTAAAAATTCGACAGTTGAAATAAAGGTTATAAATTGAATTGGTTATCTTATTTTGAAAGTATAGATCATAGGAGCTTCAAAAATATAGCTAATATTTTAAAGAGCAAGATTATGGAATTTATAAAATATTTGTCATAGATACATAAATGTATACATATATATGTTAGCTGCTTATATTTGACATTGGCATTACAGTTCAACCCTATTCAAATAGTAATAAACTTCCAATTTTTCTTTGTGTATCGACTAGGTGACTTTAAATTTCAGGTAACAAATTATAATTGAAGCGATCTTAAACAATAAGATTTATTGGCTCTTTTAACTAAAAAGTTTGGAGATTATACATCCTTTGTGGTCTGTTTTCCCTCCCTACCTTCCTTCTTTTTTTTCTGCTTTATCAATCATGGTGCTAACATTGTCCTTAGGCAAGCTGCTACTTAATCTGTCATTAGCAGAAGTTCCCTAATTACTTAAACTTCTTTTTAATTATTTGTTTTTCATTGTTTTATAAGTCTTTTGTAGATTACCTATATAACTTTAAAGAATATGCTCATATTTGTATTTCTTGTTCCATCAACTTCAATCAGTATCTCAACTCCCATACTTTCCCTATACCTTCTGCTCTCTTAGAATTATCCAGTACTTTATTTTTACATATTAAGGGTTACACATATGTTCTCATCAACATCCACAAGCAAGTCTTATGTACCTGTTCTATAAGTTGGCTTTAAAAATTGAAAACTATAAATAACATTTTTTGTGTTATGAGGATAATGTTGCTGCCAAGACAGATTGTGTCTGTGACCTCATTTTTTCCCCAAGATACCTGAATTTGACACTCAACTATTAGGGACCACTTGAAGGAGAATGTTCCTGTTATGCAGAAATGAATTCTTTTCTTGCAGTCCAACCAGTTACTTACAATTAGGCCGCATTTGAGTTTGCTTTGTAATTTGGACAGTGTTTAAGAATAATGTGTACTTCTTATATCCTCTAGTTTTGCTGCCCCTTCAATAATTATTATATGGAGTTTCTTATTTTCTGGTGACTTCTTTCCAGTACTCTGGATTGGTTGCTATCTTGGCCTCTGGCTCAGCTGTCATCTCGAAATTCCCCCATTTACTGCTTTCCTTCATTGAAAGCAACCTTTCCTGGATCCTTTTTTTTTATTATTCATTTGCTTTGCATATACACATTCTGAAATACATTTTAGAAATTGTGTGTAGGAGTCAAGCTTTTTGAAGCCTTACTTGTCTAAGAATGTTTATTCATTAGGTACACAAATTCCTTTTAGGCTTACAGATTTTCAATTAATGTCCTTTAATAGCACTTTTCACTTACACTGTGGCTGATATTTGGCCCGAGAGCCTCCGAAGTTTTCCTGACAATTAATACTTCAGTCCTTTCAACAAAATATTGATATTTCAACTTAGATCATAACTTATTTTCTGTCTTATTTATGGTTTTTATTATAAGGAGTGAGAAAAGGGATAAGATTGAAGCATGGGCTCATTTTTTTTCTCGTTATCTTAAACTCCAAACTTAAGAATGGGTATTGTACTTAAGATTAATATTTGAAATGATAGAGTTTTCTTTAAAAACAAGATTTGTCTTAAATAAGAAAAAATGATAAGAGTCTTTATAGTTGTCAATGTGAGAAAAACCAGGTTTTACTATGTTGTGCAATATTTTAAATCTTTTATTTGAGCCTTTTTATTTAGTAAATATTATTTTACCCTTCTAGTTATATAAACTAGAGGACATATTTAAAATTTTTAAGTTATTCCTGGTAATGCTTCATTAAGAGTAATTTCAACCTTAGATAAACTTAAGTTATTGATCAGGTTTTAGAATAATAAAATCAAAATTTTTTAAATACAAACTTTGTCTCTTTTTTCTTCCTTGCTGTGCTGCTGCTTGTTATACCAGCCCGAAGCAGTCGTATTCCTCGACCAAGTGTGAGTCAAGGATGCAGCCGGGAAGCTAGTCGGGAGAGCAGCAGGGACACAAGTCCTGTTCGCTCTTTTCAGCCCCTCGGTACGTGTTTCAGTAGGTGTGAGTGCATTGCTTTCCCTGTGTTATCACCAGTCAGTGACTTCAACATACATGGGATTTAGCTTTCTTCATTGACTATGTCTTTGACCCTATCTCTTTTCTGTCATTTTGAGGAAAGACTGAGAAGGAAATTGTATTTTTGGGAAACTCTTTTGACTTGACTTACTTGTGTTAAATGAGTAAGTTAGTTATTGTATTAAAAAATTTCCTTCAAGGCCGGGCGCGGTGGCTCACGCCTGTAATCCTAGCACTCTGGGAGGCCGAGGTGGGGCGGATTGCTCGAGGTCAGGAGTTCGAAACCAGCCTGAGCAAGAGCGAGACCCCATCTGTACTATAAATAGAAAGAAATTAATTGGCCAACTAATAATATATGAAAAAAATTAGGCGGCATGGTGGCACGTGCCTGTAGTCCCAGCTACTTGGGAGGCTGAGGCAGGAGGATTGCTTGAGCCCAGGAGTTTGAGGTTGCTGGGAGTTAGGTTGATGCCACGGCACTCACTCTAGCCTGGGCAACAAAGTGAGACTCTGTCTTCAAAAAAAAAATTTCCTTCATAGTCAAGTAAGTGTCACACAGATTTAAACTTCAGAATATTGAATTCAAGATTTTTCTTAATAAGTAAATCAACAAAATTTAAAGATAACATTTAAATATTTACTCTCAAGTGAAATATGATCAATTTAATTTGGTAAAATACTTTTGTCCTTTTCAACAAAAATATTGACATTTCAACTTAGGTCATTTAATTTAAGTTGCTAGAAAGAGTACCACAAAATATTATATGAACTCCTTGTTATCAATGGGAGGGAATAACTTTTTATAGTATTTTATGATTTAACAGTCATTTCCCACATATTAGCTCATGTCATGTCCCTGCTATAAAGAGATTGTATTGTAACCTTGATTATAATACTATATTTAACCTCAATTATAAAAATATTAAATGCTTTTTAAAATATTAATTATTTTTGGATAACTGGAGAGGCATAATTTTTTACACTGAGAATCTTTAGAATTTCTGCATGATCCTTCAGCATTTTAACTAGCACTTTGTATGTACAAACCTATAGCCATTTCAGATTCTTTGACACCATGGAAATTTACTGTAATACTTAGAAATTTGCTCTTCAGACTTTGGAATAGAACATAGTTCTATTTGTTGTTTACTAGAATTCTTATTTCCTCAGATAGATACACTTGTATAGAATATCTAGTGATTAATTTTTGATTCTCTGGGCCATTTGGTTCAAATATATCACTAGGCTGTCCTGTACTGAACTAGAAAACTCCAATGAACTAGGGACATATTAATAGAAGAATATCCTCATCCCTTGTTTGTGTTCCAGCCCCAGGTGCCAAAGTTTCTTTCTTTCCCTTCCCCCTGTGGGAAGGTGCCAGGATAAAAAGAACTATTCTGTATCACTAAGGCTGTGTATGGCAGGTACTTTTGCCAGAGATATTTTTAATTCATATACAATAGAGTTAGTCTATAGAATGTATGTGCATATGCGCACACACATATATGGCACATCTTCATGCATGTATGTTTAAATAAATGCAATACAGATCCTACACCTGTTTAAAATAAGCATACCACTTTGAGTTGAGAAAGTGGAATGGATATGTGGTGGCTTAAAAACATGTGTTCTAGGGTCAGATGACCTGGGTTCCTACCTAGCTCTAATCTTTCTATACCCAGGTTTTCTCATCTGTAAAACAAGGATAATAATAGTATGTACTTCTTAGGATTGTTCTGAAGACTCTTAAATGAGAAATAACATGAAAAACTTAGGGCAGTGCTTGGCCCACATGAACGCTCACTTATGTCATTGTGGTCATCATCATTACCACTGCTGCTGCCACTTCTACTCCACCTCTTCCCCCTGAAGCTCTAATCACTTACCCTAGAAACAGTTTCATTATATGTTAGTGGCAAGGACCTCAGATTTTTTAATGGTATGACACCTGTATTTATATAATGCCAACATCACAGAATGACTAGAAAACATATGAAGAAGAAACCAAAATTTGTTCATTTGGTGGAATCCCTTTGTCACCTCTGACTTTAAATATTGCCATTCATTGTGGTTTAAAAGAAATACTGTGGCAGCTGAAAAAAAAAATTTTTTTTATAATATATATTAAAAATAATAAAAAAGGAAAAAAAAATTGCCATTCAGCAGATGAATCCCCTAGCTTGTTATGCATTCACATGTATCACAAGTGCATGCTTTATAATAATTTAAAATTAATTTAGTGAGGGCCCTAAAGCATCAGCAATAAATCAGAGCTGAGCAAAGCTGAACTTCTCTGGAACTTGTGCCCTTAGTTTCCATTTATTTCTAGAACTAAGATTTTTTTAAACAGCTTAGTTTATTACAAACACAACTCTTACCTGTTATCTTTGGTCACAGATAACTATTGATTCTATAAAGGTTTTCAAAAATTTTCATCTACTAGGCATTTCCACATTTGCTCAACTCTTTCTCACCATTTTAGAAATTATTTCTGTTCCATAAAATAAAATTATGTATTACTGTATTTTACTAATGATACCAGTCACCTTTTAGGAATGATTAAACATTTTGTGCAACATTCTCTTTATTCAATCCTTCTTTCTCTCAATATTTTTTATAATTTCCCTGTTTATTATGGCTGTCCTGTAATGAAGGAAAGAGTGGCTCTCGTAATAAAAATATTTTGACTGCTCTAATTAATATCTGAGGATGAATTACTTTTAAAATAAAAGTAATATATTTTACTAAATATTAAAATGTATTTTCCTGTATATTTATTTATATAAGAGAAAGATTGACTTAGTTTTATGAAAACTAGGATTTTTAAGATCTAAAATGGAAAATATGCTAATTTAGATTTTAGAGCAATATATAGGAAGCCATATCACAAATTTCTAGGTTCTTTGGTTAAATTATTAAATTTCTTGGCATTTAAATGTGCTTTGACATTTAAATAATCTACTCTTGAACACAGAATTTATATTCTGTAAACCATTATGGAAAATGTTATGTTAACACAAAAGATGTATATTATCTTTTGAACAATTCGAATGTGGTACATGTATTATTTAAGAGCAGAGGCCTTGAAAAGATATAGATACTGAGGAGTAGCAATTATGAGTAGTATGGCTTTGACCAAATTACCTCCTTCTGTGCTTTAGCTTCCGCATCTGTCTTAGTTCATTTGGCTGTTGTAACAAAATTCCATAGTTGAATACTTATAAATGACAGAAATTTATTTCTCAGAGTTCTAGAGGCTAGGAAGTCCTGGATCAAGGTGCCAGCAGATCTGGTGCCTGGTGAGGGCCCATTCTCTGGTTCATAGATGATGTCTTCTGGCTGTGCCCTCACATGTTGGAAGAAGCTAGCTAGCTCTCTGGGGTCACTTTAATAAAGGCACTGATCTGAGTCATGAGAGCTTTTCCTTCATGACCTAATTGCCTCCCAAAGGCCTCACCTAATACCATCACCTTGAGGATTAGAATTTCAGCATATAAATTGGGGGTAGCGGGTGGGCAAACATTTAAATTATAGTACCATCTATAATCTGGAATATTAATAACTGCCTCATTGGGTGTCAAGATTAATGGATATAAGATTTTTATGAGTTACCATAGTGGTTTTTTTTTTAACTATGATATGTTTGGTTTTTTTGTTTGTTTGTTTCATGCTTGTACTTTTGACATTTCCTTCCATTTGAATACTTGCTTTTTTGTCTCCTGTAGACCTCTGTCTGTCCACTTAGGTGTAAGATGTGTTTGTATGTCAGGGATGATGTTGGAATACTAATGTTCAGTTGCCCTACTTGGCAGTATTCTGATCATTAACTATTAAGAGTAACACCAGTGTTAACTAACTCTCCTTGCCTGACAGTAGTGCTGCCACTATTCCTTGTTTCTGTGGTAATAGATGAGGTTTGTATGGTCCTGTTATTCCAGCCTCCAGACACCATTCCAGATCAACTGGTGCCCTCTACGCCCCCGATGTGTATGGGGCCTCAGGTGAAGGATGAGTACATTTTCACTTTCATCTGGCATTCATCTCAGATTTTGTCCTTTTCAGTTTCCATTGAATAATATTCATGTTTTGTTATTTACATTTAATTTGTTGGAGAATAAATACTTGTATTTTTTTTCCTTTTCCACCAAATAACTTTTCCCCGTTTCAGCAACCTTACTGAGCATTTTTCTCACTGGCAGATGGACATTTTTCTTTTGTATAACCTGTTATGTCATTTTTAAATATAGAATTGTTTTATGTTTTCAGTTATGTACCTCATCTTTGTATATATGTTTAAAAAAAAAAACCAAAATGGTGGATGAAGTGTTTTAATTGTAAATGATGGTATAGAAAGCAGTTGAGTGGGAGAATTCATCTCTGGTTTGTCTTTCCATATCTCATAACATTGGGCACATAGTAGACACTTAACAGATGTCAAATGATCTGTCTTAGTTATAGAATGAAACCAACCTATCTTGAAGAAGAGGAGATAATAATTAAAGCTTTTTTTCCTTGTAAATTCCCAGTGTGGCTTCATTGATCTCCCTCTCCTTATTGGTTGAGGACTGATCTTTGTTCTGGGTTACCCTGTGGTTCAGCTGTATGGATGAGATTTGCCTGAATTGATAGAGCTGGATTAATTATAGGGCTATAGACTTGCAAGCCCTTAGTCGACCAGCCATGCTTTCTTCTACCTTGTGGTCATTAATAAATAGCTACTATTTTTAAAATTTATTTCCCATACATTGTCAATAATTTTAATTGTCTGTACCCTTTTATTTTACCAAAAACTAAATGTGCCCAGAAAATACAATATTGCTTTTAAAATGCTTTGCCCCATTGGTTTTTTTTTCCCCCTCTTAAAAGTCTTAAAGTTTCCCAGCCTAACACTCTTACATTTATGACTCCTTCAAAGCTATTTTCCTTTTTTTATTGAATTAGGTCCAGGGTATGGAATTAGCCAATCAAGCCGACTGTCATCTTCTGTCAGTGCCATGCGAGTCCTGAACACAGGTTCTGACGTGGAGGAAGCAGTAGCAGATGCCTTGGTACTCTTCTCCATTTCCTTATCATTATAAATGTTCTAATTATGAAACTAATGTATGAGTAATCCAGTTCACCCATGAGGAAAAGGGGATGGGAAATTTTTTTTAATTAAATCTAGGAAGATGAAATATGGACAATGTAAAAAACAGAGCAATGTAATTAATCCTTGATCTTTATTAATTACTCAGAATTTTAAGCCAGGAGCAATAATACTGATGGGATGTCAGGAATATAAATATTGATGTCTTTAATAATTTGTTTTATATACTGTAGTATACAAAGGTAAGTGCAGATTGATTAGTATATAAATATGTACACTTACAAGCATGCATAATAATTTCAAGGCTAGCCTAACCTTGAGTATTTAGGGATTGTCTTAGTTGAGGTGGGATTTTGTTTAGTCTTTTGTATTTTTACAAAATTTTTATTTTCTAAGCTGAAAGTACAGCCTCAAAGCAAATTATAATGAAGATATAATGGTATCTTATAATTAGATATAATTCCTGCTTATTTATGCCTGACACATTAACAGTGAGGTTTAAAAACATATTCTAGGCCAGGCATGGTGGCTCACACCTGTAAATCATAGCATTTTGGGAGGCTGAGTCAAGGGGATTGCTTGAGGCCAGGATTTCAAGACTAGCCTGAGCAAGAGCAAGACCCCTTCTCTACAAAAAAAATAAGCTCGGCATGGTGGAGTATGCCTGTAGTCCCAGCTACTTGGGAGGCTGAGGCAGGAGGATCGTTTGAGCCCACAAATTGGAGATTACAGTGAGCTGTGATAATGCCACTGCACTCTAGCTGGGGTGACAGAGTGAGACTGTCTCAAAAAAAATTCATTGTTAATAGGTATAATTTATTGAATATCATTACATGTATAGTTCTGCTCTAATAGTCTATATGTTTTGATTTTGTCCCTTTATCTCACCCATTTGCTTATTGTTTATAAATTAATATAACTGAGCAAAGACTCTGTTTTCTTGGACATGGAATGTATTGATCACCTCTTATTCTGATGATATTAAATGAATCAGATGTTTTAAATATAATATTCGTCATCACTGTGTTTCTCAAATGTTTTTGGGATTTTTTTAATCAAATGATTTACCAGTTAAATTCTGCTTACATAAGTATTATGAATTGAGTGGGTTATTCTTAAACTATTACTTATAATCCTAAAATGATGAGTTTGAATTATATGAGAAGTATTTAACCACCAAGGCTAAAATCGGAATCCCAATAACTGATTTGATCTACTTCTATTATTTGCATAGTACCTGATATTCCAGTCACAACTATCAATTTTTAGGAAAAACCTTTCCAATTATTAAGCATAATTGGTACCTGGAGAGAATCATAGAAATAAATTTAACTTTGGAAATGGCAAAGAATCCAAATAAGAAGAACATTTGAGTTTCTTTGGGAAAACTGGTTTATGAGAATATTTTTGTATTAGCTTATATTTCTCTTTGAACTAAAGGATATTGACAAGATTAAAGATATAGCCTGCAAATAAGCAGTTGTTTTGTATCTATATGTTAAAAAACGTAATGTTTCTTATCATGGGCATTGTTAATTCCTACTTCCTTGTGCTGTTTAGCAAAATGTACTTCATTTTTTTCAACTTTTCTCTTTAAAAATTTACTGCTCTCAGCTCTTAGGAGACATACGGACTAAGGTATAGATATTGCTATTTTCTGACATCTTATGATACCATAACGTTTTTTTCTTTGCTTCATCAGTTTAACAAATGACAGTCTTAAAATTCTTAGACATGCATCTGTTTATCTGTAAATATTATCAAGAGGGAGGTACTGCTTGAATAGTGTCTTCTAGTCCTGGCTACATCATACAAATCAGGTGAAGTGATTCATACTGACATCTATAACAAAACTGATTCTGGAACCAACATGGGAAACATCACAGTATTACCATTCTAAATTAAGTTGGTGTCTCTAAATCAATATAAGGCATTTAATGATGGAAACATCATTATAAAACTATTTTAAGTTCAACTCATATTTCTTTTAGATTTTAGAGAAAACTTATTTCCACCTGAAACTATTTGAATTTGTTGTATTTAATCTCTTTTGTAGAAATATATTCACCACTCACCAGCCAAAGTTCAGATATCAGATTACATAAATATTTGTTTCCAACTCTCTCAAGGAAATCTCAGATAAACCGTTTATTCTCTCTCATTTCACTTTTAATATGCAAGGTATAATTGGCAGTTACATATATTAATGTAAGCTTTAGATAAGGCTTTTATATAAAAAAATCAAAGGAATGTGAATATGCTTTGTTATATTTATTGAAATAGACAATATAGACACATTGAGAAAAGCATAGTAAGCAAAATAGTTTTTCATTCTTTGTATTTTACCTCTCTAGGAGACATGAGGGTTGGGAAAAAGAGAAGGAAGGGTGGCAAGAGAAGTGATAGTAGAGGTAAAAGGGGAATAGAGGAAAGAGAAGGTAGAGAAACAAACAAAAGAAATAGAACTTTACATGCATTTATCTGATCCATTGTACCTTCCTTTAAAAAGGTAGTATTCTCTTCTTACCAACTGAGTTTTCTAGTAGTTTCTGTTCATTTACATTCTAGTAGTTCTTGGTTTTCCATGAAAAGGGGAAAGAAAAATATCCACATTTTTGATCACTTTCCACCTCATGTATCTGAACTTCCATATAGTCTTATTCTGTTCCTACCACTTCCCTGGTTAAAGAATATTTTACCTTCTACTAACTAACTTCTAAAACATGTTTTTTGAAGAAAAACTAAATATTGGCTTTTTGTTATAATGATTAGCATGCTTTGCGCTGATTTTAAAGCAGTGATCAATCCTTTTGTGGTCAGTAGAAATTACAAAATACCAATATATTCATTTGACTACTGCTAATGAGATTTTTTATGTATGACAGAAAAAACCTGCTCGAAGAAGATATGAATCATATGGAATGCATTCAGATGATGATGCTAACAGTGACGCATCTAGTGCTTGTTCAGAACGCTCCTATAGTTCTCGAAATGGTAGTATTCCTACATATATGAGGCAAACAGAAGATGTGGCAGAAGTCCTCAATAGATGTGCTAGTTCCAATTGGTCAGAAAGGAAGGAAGGCCTCCTAGGTCTGCAGAACTTACTAAAAAATCAAAGAACACTAAGGTGAGATGCATTATCTTAAAATAATTTTACTATTAGGTTAGCACTTTTTGACTTGACTTTGTTCCCATAATGCTTTAGAAATACAGAAAAGACTTGTCCGAAATTCACAAGATTGCATCAAAGTGTTTTTCCCAAGCCTCAGTCCTTTAGGACCATCTGTATTAGAGTTTACTAAAAATGTTTTAATTAACTTGCTCTATTTAACAAAACATTTTAAAAGGAAACTTTTTATTCATAAATAGAAGTTAATAAAAACGTTATTGATTTTAATATTAAAATAAATAATAAAAAGCATAACAATAACACTAATTGGTTTATGAAAATTCATTTGTGCTAAATTTTTCCGCAAGAGGAAAGAATGTTTATGCTTATTTGGAAATGAAAGTATATTCTTAATATGCATGTAATATGTGAATCTTAGTATCATATGAAGGCAAATTGGACTGAATTTCTCTAAGGACAGAAGTTGATTTGGGATTTTGTTTTCTAATGGCTTTAGCTTGCTTTTTTTCCCCTTAAATTCTACATTGTCCTTGTCTGTGTAATATTTTAAACCTTTATAGTCAACCCCTTTAAGAATCTAGCTTAAGATAGTTCATAGATTTGAATGTGATAGAATGTAGAGGGTTACTTCTTGACTTGATACCTGTAAAATCAGGGTTTGATATACTTGCTGTGTATTTATTTTAGGAAGTATTAGGACTATAAAATTTAAAATGAATATTTATTATGTGCTACCTAATGTATCTTCATGTGTGGATATCACATACTTTATGAATCACTGTAATAAATCATCATAATATTGTTGCCAGCCCATCAAGATTAGATTCATTATATCATTTTAAAAGGCAAGGGAGTAGGCATAGTTTAGAAAGATTTTAGCCCCTAAGTGGCAAAATTTAAGAAACCATCTTAGCAATTAAAAGGATAAGATTATATGTTGGGAATGCCACATGTAAAATTCCACCTGTCATACTATATTAATGAAATATAATTGTATTTCTTTTCACAAATATTAACCTTTAAGATAGTGTAGGTTAAAAAATAATTGTTGTTGCATTGATAATTTTATATTTATCCCTAACTAGTAAATCCCACATATTTCTCAATTTTGAGGGCTGATTTTTTTAACCTTTTGTTATTGTTGTTAAGAAACTTAATGAAATGTAAGGTGACTTTTATATGTTTTCTTCCTACAGCAAGATATTAATTAGCCATTTTATTATTTTGGCAGCCGAGTTGAACTGAAAAGATTATGTGAAATTTTCACAAGAATGTTTGCTGATCCTCATGGCAAGGTACGTTTTAGCATTTAAGATTATTTACTCCTATGGGGTATCATTTGTATCTTACCCATAAAAGAAGTAAAATAATAGCAGAAAGCTATAAGCCATTTTTGTTTTATTGTCCCAAAATTATAGTAATATTTTCAAACATAATTAAAATTAAGTATTCAATATCATATATAATTTAGAAATTACTCTCTGGTAACCATTTGAGCTTCTTCAATGAGAGATTATCTGAGACTGAAAACTGAAAGGGGTATAGTTATAAGCACAACTAAATTATAATTTAATCAAAGTGGTGTATTTTGTACTAAGAATATTTTACTATTTGTAAAAGATGTAATTTGGGTAAGTTGAAAAGGTTTCTAACATTTGTTTTCTTCTGTAATGAATTACAACATTAATGTAAATTTATTTCTATTTTGAAAGAATTTCGTTGAAAAGAATTATTGTTAAATAACACAAAAGCACAAAATATGGCTTTAGCCATAATTTGGCAGTAATGTAAAAAAAGAAACATTCATACATTGAAATAGTTCATAAAAATTTTAAGCACTTTGTTCAATTTCTAATGTTAACTAAAATGTATTTAATTAAGTACTTATGCATAATCTGCATGTTTACTGTGAAATTTTGGTTTACCTTGATGCATACTACTTGTATAAAAATGTGGTCATTTATTCTGTTTCCAGCAATGTGTTTAATAATGATGAAACCTTAAATATCTTCCTTTAGGACACCAAGTGTGTACAGGAGACTTTCTAACCTAAGTGAGAGGGAGATGTGGCAAAGAAATTATGAGAAAAATACCAATGAACTTCACTTTACTTTTTTTTTTGTTTGTTTTATTGTCTTCACTTTATTGTCACACATCATTTCCTTCTCCTTTTTTTCTATTTTTGGTATTTTCATTACTTACAACTCTATTTAAAAATAATACAATTCCACTTTGTACATAAATCCAGTTAAAGATTTAAATCCAGTGGGATATATACATAATTTAAATAAATTGCTCATACTTTAAAATGATATTTTACAAAGATTATTCTTTGTCAGAAAGTGTCTTTATTTTATCTGAGGATGAAAGATCCTTTTGAAAGACAAAGATGAAAATATATTTGGTAAGCAGTTTGTTTACTAAAATTTTTTTAAGTTTGTAACTTTTAAATTGAATGTGTAGATAACCGTACCATTTTATATTGATATTGCTACCACTGATTACACTCAGAGGTCTTGCTTTAATGCAAAATTTCTATAAATTCTGAACAAATTAACTTTTGATATTTTTAGTTAGCAATATAAGCCAAAAGACAAGACAATTATTTAGGTGAGCTTACTTTATTGAATGACATTTTAATTAGTAGTCTATTCAACTTTGAAAAATATAGTTATTAAGCATCTTCAATAACTCTTCACTACTGGAAGATACAAGACCACAGTTTTTGACTTTTTGTTAGGGCAATAATGCAGTTTGATTGGATGCCAGATCTATGCAGTAATAAAGAAAAACATTTTTTAAAAGATCCAATAGAAAAGCCAAGTTTGACATTGATAAAGGAACTTAACTGAGCACAAATATCTGATCTTCCTCTGATGTGGACAGCCAGTTACAATTCTCCCTAAAGTTGAATCAGAAAAATGACTTTTTGATTTTTCTTCGTAGGGCCTTATAACAACATAACTTCTTACTGACTTATCTGGTTTTGTTTGGTTGCTTTGGTGTTTGGTTTTTTAGTAAGTTCAATGAAGATAATGTAATGGGAAAATTTTGGTTTTGTTTGGCTTTTGTTTGGTGATTGTTCATCAGAGGTTCTGCCAATAATTAATTCATTAAGAATAAACTGGACATGTTGCCACGCTATGCTGAGTTAAAATGTGTTGGAGGTTTTGCTTTGTATTCTGATATTATTAAAATAGTAGATATGACCCTTACTTTTTAGGGTATTTTTATAAAATACCAATAATTCCATCTTCATGATCAAGTAATTTCTTCTGATTTTTTCTTTCCAAGTGCAATTTTGTTCTATATTAGCAGTTACCCATTTTTTTCTGTGAATAATGTGGCTTTGCAGGCCATAATGGTCTCTGTCCCAGCTACTCAGTTCTGTTCTTACAGCATAAAGGTATCCATAACAGACAACATATAAACAAATGAGTGTGGCTGGGTTGCAATAAAACTTTATTTATGAACATTATTTATGACACTACTTAACTATGTTAAAATCCCACTTTGTACATAAACTAAAATCCAGCTGAAGATTTAAATCCAGTATGGTACATGTGAATGTTCATATAATTTTTATGTGCCACTAAATAGTCTTTTGATTGTTTTTAAAACCATTTAAAATTATAAAAACTTGTCTTAGCTTACAGGCTATAGTTTGCTGATGCCTGTTTTATTTGATCAACACTTTGTCATTGACACTATAATAGAAATTTATGTTCAGGAACCTGTATTCTTATAGCTCATGCCACTGGTTGAAGATTAGGACTATTGAAGAGAAACAATGTATTGGTCCCTGCTGGGTGAAATCACACAGCTCTACCTTTTCCTGCCAGTCTGTGTATCTGATTTGTGGTTTTTGTCTAAGTGCTCAGTGCTGCCTAGTAATCCTCCTCTTCTCAGTTTTCTGTTCTGTCCTCCATGGAGACTTTATCAGATATTTTCTCTCCTCAAAACTCTGGCCCTGTTTACCTCCCCACCTATCTCATGCCCAGCATATGTCCTAGCCTCTTAGTTTACCAAGAATATAGAAGCTGTCAAGCAGGAGCTCCATTTCTTGCCTCTAGCCAGCAAACCTAACTGCACATAAACTCATTCATTCTTTCTACCTGCTCTTCTTTTGAGTTAGAAGGAGGTCTCATCTTGTGGCTGTGTTGTTAGATACATAAATATGTATTTTATCTCCTGCTAATATAGTCTCATCTGCTTGGTTGTCCAGGAATTTCTCATACATTCCAATTTACTGACTGATTTCCTTATTTTATTTTTCAGTTTTATAGTGAGTTTATTCATTGTGCCTTTTAAGTCATTTTAAGGAATGTAGTATGGGAGAGGAGGAAAGGTGTGTTTTGTCTTCTGAGGTGCCTAATCCAGTCTTCCTTATACCATTTATTTCACTCTTCAGACACCTGTCTCTTTGCTTATTTTCCTAATGTTGATGCTGCATAGAGTCTTGCCCTAGGCCCTCTTCTTTTACTCTGTACCTTATCTTGGACCTTCAGTTACCCACTTTATCATAAAGGCTCCCAAATGTGTATTTCTAGCCTATATTTTTCTCCTCCACTTAAATTAAATGATCACATGCCTATTGGTTATTGTCAGCTTTAAAACTACACTTCCTCCTGCATTGCATATCTTGTTAGATGATACCACCATCCCTTGGTTGCGAATTTTGGCATTATTCTAGAAACTACACTCAATTCTGTTGATTCAACGTTCTGAATATTTTTATTTATTTTTTTGAGACAGAGTCTCACTCTCTTGCCCAGGCTAAAGTGCTGTGGTGTTAGCCTAGCTCACAGCAACCTCAAACTCCTAGGCTCAAGCAATCCTCCTGCCTCAGCCTCCCAAGTAGCTAGAACTATAGTCATGCACCACCATGCCCAGCTAATATATATATATATATATTTTTTTTTTTTTTTAGTTGTCCAGCTAATTTCTTTCTATTTTTTTAGTAGAGATGGGGTCTCACTCTTGCTCAGGCTGGTCTCGAACTCCTGAGCTCAAACTATCCTCCCGCCTCAGCCTCCCAAACAGTTGGAACTACAGGTGTGCCCCACCATGGCTGGTTCCATCTGACTTCTGAATATCTCTCCATTCTCATTGCTAATTCAGGACACAACTGTCTTTTGCATGCTGTACCCACTCTCCACCTTCCATCCCTAAATTCTCTTCCACACTGCTTCCTTGATTAATCTTTCTAAACGGCAGATCTTTTCTATTAGCTCATCCTTCAGTAATTGCTCATTTCCCTCAAGAAAATATCCAAACAAAGCCTATCATATTTGCTTGTTATTCCTTCTTCACTCTCAACTCAGCCTGAATTATGTTTCCCCTAATGTGCCATGCACTTTTCCTTATAGCCATGAAATATGCTATCAAGGGTACTTCCCTCTCTTCCTCAACTTAGCATCCTTTGGCCTCCTTTGGATACCACTTCTTCCTCAAGCCTGGATTGGATCTCCACTCTGAATTGTAGTCACTTATCTGAACCCTTAACTATCCTGAAAGCTCTTGGGCAGAAATTGCATAAAGCCTTGCTCCTAGAAGGGAGACACTTCATGCCATGACCATTGGTTGAATGGATGTTCCCACATCCTTTTAGGTTAGAGTCAGCATTTCAGTCTCTATGTTAGCAGCTTCTGGATGGTAGCTGGCTTCCTTGATAAGTGAAAGTTGTCACTTTTGCTGAACATGGTTGAAACTACTTGTTGTCCCCAGCTGAATCAAGATACTTAGAGAACCAGGTTGTAAGCAGCAGCCCATATCTTTTCAGCTAGGACCACCTTCTCCAGCCCCCAGTGTATTTCCTCCTTATATTTTTTAGACAAGGCGGATTTTTATTTTGACTGCTCTGGACCCATTTTTTTTCTCCTTAAATGTAAGCAGTGTCAGATGCCAACAGTTATCTCATGTGTTTCTGGCATTTGACTCTGAACAAACTCTCTGAAAAGTGGTACCTTCGCTGAGATGCATGTTCTGAATTGTCATTTTATTGTCTATGTAACCCTACTTCTTGAATCATGCTCTTGAGCTTTGGACAGCAAGGGTAGGAATTCAATCTGTGCCTACTAAAAGGGGGCATAATTGAATACCCTACTTAGAAGCTCACATCTGTTCTTCTGACAAGTGTTCTAGGCAATTCAGCTACCCACAGTTGTTGGATCAGGAGACCATCACATACATCTTACCTGGGAAAAAATAAAAAGTTGTATAAATAGTTACTTTTGGCCTCCAAACAATAGTAATTGTTCCAGACCTTTACAGAAATAATTTAACTTGTGAAAGTATTGTGTCTGAGAGGAGAAAAGATAGAAAAAAAGAAAGGGGGAATAAATGCTAGTTATTGTGCTTTAGAACCAAATGTTGGCTCTGTTCAGAAATGGGAGTTAGTTTCTCTTATTCTTGGGTCCTTTGCCAGAAGTTGAGCCTCAAGGATAGTAGGGTCTGGAAAAGAAGGGTTTTGTTTTTAGTTTTTTAATTTCCTTGGCAAAGAGGTGAAAGAGAAACACTGGAAAACCATATACTCTTCTCCCATACTATTCATTTAACTCTTTGTTTTAAAAACTTTTGAGTTTACCATAAAATTTTGAAAAACATTTGTCACTTTTATTTTCTAAGTGTTTTTCTTCCATACAGGAACTTTGCATTGATGGCGACTAATTTGTGTGTTTTTCTTTTTTTTCTTTTTTTCTTTTTGCATGCTGTCCCCTGTGTTGGAACTCTCAATAGAGAGTAAGTTGGTTCAATATTTGTTGGAAACCTAACTTTACTGCATGACTGTGAAATTAACCCTTTTTCTCTATTTTTCTCTCCCAAAGAGTTCATGCAGTGTTGGACCCTTTGCAATCCACGAAATGCTATTTGCAGTTATGCAAACTGTCATTCTGTTTGGAGATGTGCTTTTTAATCTACTAATTAATCTAATTTGATTATGTTCTTCTGTTCTGTATTTGATGACTGGCACACCTAAGATATAAGAGAGTTTAAGAAAAGGCTGCCTCAATCGTAATAGCTTAAATATTTAATTCTTTTCCAACAAGTTAACTGTTGTGAAATATGTGGGACTATAAATTGATTCCATTTAAGGTTGCTCCCACTGAATTATTTTTAAATGATTCCCAAGTTTCACAATTACTAAAAAAAATTTAGCCCCTGCCTTCCCACATGTACTTTCTAATATTCTATTAATGTCATTCCATCAAAGTAAACAGAGGATTATGGAGCAATGATTCTCAACTTTCTTTTCTGAAATAAAAAGTTTATCCCTAGTATTATTCTAGAATTACATTAGCATATCTACTTTCCATTTTCTTTAATCACAGATAAGGTAAGAATGGTGTATATATAATCTTACCGATAACATAAACAGTAAATTAACAGATGTTTTGTAAGTTATATATATTTTATACTGTATTTTTACAATAAAGTCAGCTAAAGAAAAGAAAGTGTAATTAAGAAAATCTGAGCAAATATATTTATTATTCATTAATTAGAAGTGAATCATCATAAAGATCTTCATCCTAAGGCAGAGGAGGAGGAAGAAGAGGGATTGGTATTGCGGTTTCAGGGATGGCAGAGGTGAAATAAAGTCCACATATAAGTGGACCAACACAGTTTAAACCCTCCTTGTTCAAGGGTCAGCTGTATATATATATATATATATATATATATATATATATGATCATTTAGTAAGTACCACTGATAGGATATAATATTTTAAAAAGATAATAGTACAATTCTATATGTAGAATACAACAAATAGCATGTCTACATTTTTATTCATCTATTCACATTATATCTAACCAAATGAAATTTCTACTTGGGATACTTAGAGAAATCTTCTTGAAGAAAATTTCATTTTGAATCTTGACAGAAACATAAGCTTTGGATATATCAGCATGAGAAGAAAGGGCCTCCTGGAAATGGTAGCATGAATTCAGAAAAAGAAGTAGGAGATGCCAGAAAGTTTATAGGAAATAAAAAGAAGTTAATCTCGGCTAGAATGAAGGAAAGGTCTTCCTTCTTTAATTGAGGAAAAAAGGTTGGCTACCAATTATGGAATAAATTTTCACTCAGGATGAAATTCTTACATTCATTGAACAACTTTTTATTTGGTCCTCAGCCTCTGATAACTTTGAGCTTGGTTCTAATTGGTGATACAAGAATATATAAAAATATACTCCTGGCCGGGCGCTGTGGCTCACGCCTGTAATCCTAGCTCTTGGGAGGCCGAGGCGGGCGGATTGCTCAAGGTCAGGAGTTCAAAACCAGCCTGAGCAAGAGCGAGACCCCGTCTCTACTATAAACAGAAAGAAATTAATTGGCCAACTGATATATATATAAAAAAAAAAAAATTAGCCGGGCATAGTGGCGCATGCCTGTAGTCCCAGCTACTCGGGAGGCTGAGACAGAAGGATCACTCGAGCCTAGGAGTTTGAGGTTGCTGTGAGCTAGGCTGATGCCACGGCACTCACTCTAGCCTGGACAACAAAGTGAGACTCTGTCTCAAAAAAAAAATAAAAATAAAAATAAAAAAAAAAAAAAATAAAAATATACTCCTTATTCTCAAGTGGTATGTGTTCCAGATGGGAAGATAATATAAATACAGAAAAAGTTAAATAGCATCATAAATAGCTAGCACCACTATGAGGTCCAAGTCAAGAAAATCAGTGGCTATTTTCTAAAGTAGTCCAAGAAGCTTCTTGGCTGGGACTTGAGTGGAAATTTTGTAGGGCTTCACAAACTGTGTATAAATGAATGGAGTAGCGGTGTGGTAGGAAATCAGGGAGGTAAGTGAGATGTGTTTAAGGATAAAGAGTGAATGTTGCCAGATAGTCCAAGATCAGTTTGTAGTTAGAATCTTATCTAAGGGTTTGAGATATTATCTTACAGATAATGATGGGACATTAAAGGATTTTGTTTTTGTCAAGAGTGATATCACAGTCTAATGGTGAAAAAAGATGCATGAGTTGTCAAATTCCAGCCCAAATCTGCCCTGCTGCCTGTTTTTGTAAATAAAGTTACATTGGAACACAGCCATGATCATTTGTTCATGTAATGTCTATGGCTGTACTACAAAGGCAAAGTTGAGTAGTTGCAATAGAGATTGCTTGGTTTACAAAGCCTAGGATATTTACTGTCTGGCCTGTTACAGAAATAGTTTGCTGACCTCTGATATGCAAGAAATGTAAAGACTAAAAACAGACTACTACAGAAATTCAGACCTGAGGTTAGAAAATTTTAGTGCTTGCAACGATAATATGATAAACAGATTTTGAGAAGGCCAAAGGAGAGCTATTCTAGAGATTCTGGGGCTTCATGGGGGTAGATCAGAGAGACTTTGTCAAAGAGGTCACACTTATGATGAAAAGATGAAAAGAGAATTAGGTTGAAGACATTTAGGATGTAAAAGGAGAATTCCTGGCAACCAGAAAGGAATGAAATAATAAGAGGAAAGCAGTGTCAAGCTACAGAATGGCCAAACATACTAAACTTATGAAAAAGCCATTACACATCACAATTAAAAGATAATTGGTTAGGATGGAAGCTGAAAGACAAATTCTTGGGATGATATCTGTATCTATAAGCAAAGGATTTAGGTAGAAAATAACAATAAAGATAGTAGAGAAGACCATACTTTAGAGAGCAAGAGTATAGAATAGAAAGATTAGCCCTAAAAATGAATAAAATCAGTTCTTTCTTGAAGAAATGATTATTAGAAGGATAGGAGTAGAGGAAATCAAATTGAACAGAAAGTCAATGAAGAATTTCATGTTGAATAACATGAAAAGTAGATTAGGTAAGTCATCTAGTAATAAAATGGGTAGAACACAACTGAAAATGAAATGACTTCGCTTCGAGTCCTAGCCTAGCCATAGACGAGCTGTGAAACACTGGACAAGTCACTTAATTTTCTGGTTCTCTGTTTCCTCATCCATAAAATAGGAGAGTCAACTTAGGCATTCTAATGTCATGATTTTCAGAATGCATTTTCATATAGGAAAGCTTAAAGTTGGAATCTTCAGGAGCATAGACAAGAGTTGCAACATGGGGAAAGTAAACCAAAGAATAAAAGAGAATCAGGTGCTAGTAAACCAGCTTTGGGGGAGAGTCAGAAAGGCCTGGTTTATAGTGTTTGCCTATTTCTGAGGGGGAAATACTTTTAAACCATGGCTGATTTCAAGCTACTAACCACTTCACAAAATTCCTAAATATTTAACAATAGACTCTTGAGACAGGTGCAAGCTGACTCCAGCACACTGCTGGACAGATTTTCCAGGTAGCAGTAAGAGTGAGTACCACATTAGATACATACATTTGTCATAGACTAGGTCTAGTGAAGTTCCTTAACAACATTCTGGGCATCAAGGAGAGGGCTAGAGATAGTTTAAATGAAGCAGTCAGCCAAGTTTGGAATCTAAGAGAAGCCAGGTTTGAGGGTAGTTGGAGGAGGGTTGGAATAGAAGGTAAAGGAATCTGCATTGTGAGTAAGAACTGTGTTGAAGCAGACACTGCCTGCTTCAGAGAGTACTAAAAAATTTAAAGTAGTTGTAGTTTCTGCTTTTACAAATACAGAATATCTTAAGCAAATAACTAAAATATATTTTTTCTTTTTAACTCAGATTCAAATGTTAAAACTAAGTTATAATTCTGATAGAGAAAATCCTTCATTTCTAACATAAGAGATAAAACCAATTTATCTATAACTGTATAAGCGGAATTCAAGAAATAAAATATACATTGAAAGCAAAAGCCTTAATTCCCAAATTAGCATAGTTACTTTTTGAGGTTGTTAACTATTTTTAAAACCATAGTTTTTATCTACTATGATTATAATTTGTCTCATAATATAGCATGGTTGACAGTCTTTAGACATGTTTCCTTTGTACCTAGAAATAAATTTTCCAATATGGTATTGAATTTCTTGTAAAGATAAAACCTTATTATAGGTCACTTTTCAGAAGTATTCTAATGTGATACATCATTTATGAACATTAGCTTCCCTTCACTGTAAAAATTTTTTTTCATCTCATAAAATTATTAAAAACAGTAGATTAATATTAGAACCAAATATAAGATCCATCAATAGAAATGGAGACTAATAGCATGCCATCTAGAACTTTTTTTAAAATCACTAAAATTGAGTAGACATTTACCCTGGACTTGTTTTTTGTGTTTGTTTGTTTGTTTGTTTGTTTGTTTTTAGATACAGCTATAGTTATCCCAGCTCATTAAAAATTACTTTTGAGGCAGTTTTAGTAAATAATATATCTCCTACCAAAATATTTATGACAATTGTCATTTTGAGAAATCTGAGGATTCTCTAATTATCTCATTATGCCAGATAAATTTTAAACTTGTAAGGTAGCTGTCAGTATAGTTGTCCTCTGGTTTATTCAATGCCACTCTTCCAAAATGCTGAGAGTCAGTGAGGCTATACATAGTTCCTTTTCCTCAATTTCAGATAGAATAGATTTCAGTTTAAGCTGTGGCATCATTGATAACATTAGGTGTGCCAGCCATTATGGCCAAACTTTCTTTACCAAGTGATGCTGCATGGGATAGCTAATTGTCAAACTTCTGCAGAAGTTGGATAACCGTTCAAATGTACTCTTGTATCACAGAGTCCAATGAAAAGCAAGAGAGATTTGTTTTTCCGCTTGGCTGCCAATCGCTGTGCCTCTGAATCCTGTTTTCCTTTCTATTTCGGTTTTGAATTGAGCATAGAGGTCAATATTTCCTTCTTTTTCTCCCCACCTCTCTCCTTTATCAACTTTAGGTGTTCAGCATGTTTTTGGAGACTCTAGTGGATTTCATACAAGTCCACAAAGATGATCTTCAAGATTGGTTATTTGTACTGCTGACACAACTGCTAAAAAAAATGGGTGCTGATTTGCTTGGATCTGTTCAGGCAAAAGTTCAGAAAGCCCTTGATGTTACAAGGTAAAATTTTTTTCATATATTTCAAGTTTACCTGATAGTGATATTTAGTTCCTATATTAAAAGTTCAGATTTCTTGAATCCTTTCAAACAATTTAGACTGCATGGGCTCCATTTGGAAATTGTTCATTATGCCCATTCGCATATAATAAATTTTGTTAATATTAGTTGAATAATTCAAAGTGGTGTTTTATTTTAATTAAGCTATTATCTGCAAAGTAAGGTTGACGATTTTATTTGATCTAATGTAAATAAAAGTATTTTCTACATTTGAAAAGAATGTTTTATTATGCATTTAAATATTCAAAATCTCTTTTCAGAAGATTTTGAACCAATGATATATTTCTACTTTCTTATGTAGATTGTTGAAGTGACTTATTTCAAATATCCATTTACTAAGTTGAGGTGAGTCTAGAATTCAGATTTTAGGTATGGGGAAACATTTCTAAAACTGTTGAACCTTTTACTGAATATGTTTTTTTGATTAAATCTGCAGTTGAGGCAAGATAGACTATTATTTATTGTAATGTTAATTTTTAACCCTGTACTGGGCATAAATTCAAATGTTCATGTTCTTCTGGGAATGCTTTTATTATATACTATACCACATATAGATACTGCATCATGCATGCTGTTTGAGTATGTTTTGATATTAAGCAGTCTTTTGCTGCTACATGCCTACTTGCTGACTTAATTTTTTTGTTCTGTTTTGCTTTATTTTTATTTCAGAGAATCTTTTCCAAATGATCTTCAGTTTAATATTCTAATGAGATTTACAGTTGATCAGACCCAAACACCAAGCTTGAAGGTAAAAATTTGAGGTCCTTTGAACTCATTGTAAAGGAATTGAAGTATTTTATTTTATTACTTTTATTTTATTTTATTAATAAAGTTATGTTGATATTTGTATTTCTGTCATATGAGAAGCTGTTCAATCAGTGGGTTTTGTTTTTGTAAACTTTCAGACAGTCAAGCCAGCACTTCGGGACCAGCTTCACTCTTTTTGGAGCTCTAAGGTTTTTTTGTTTTTGTTTTCGTCTGCATTATTTCTTTTCTTAACTTTCTCTGCGGTGTTTCAGATAATGTTTGTATGCATTTATATTCAACTACTAACCTTTGTAAGTCTTTTACGCATGAACATATTTTATTTCAAGTATTATTAGATGCCAGACTTTCTTTTGGAGAAATTTAATGGGGATATGCATTAAGAAGGCATCACAAGTATGGCCATCTAACCCTGAGCTGGTAATGCATACTTGCTCTATGAAGTCTTATCTAATTTTATGTTTGTGATTTCCCAATACTTTTTTTTTTTTTTTTTTTTTTAGTTTTAGGAGTTTTAATAGGTATTTTAGGCAATATGTCAGTTTTGCCTATTATATATTCTAGTAAACAAAAATTTTTATATTTAATTTCGGTGCTATTGTTCAATTCTCCTTAACTGAAATGGTAACTTTCTCTTTTTTTGCAATGTGATAGTTCTGCTTGTGCATAAAATTTTGGAATTTTCAATTTTTAATTGTTATTTGCACACATTTTCCAGCTAATATGAAAACTAGGTGCATTCCAATTTGTGATTAAAAATTATTATTAAATTTAACATAAAGAGAAAACAATTTAAAGTAAAAGGAGAGCCCTTGAATTCTTTACTAAAGATGTTTTTTAGTGAGTTTTATTAAATGAGATTAAAGTCAGGGAAATAACAAGCATATATGCTTATATAAGTCCTATACTTTTCTGCTCTATTCTGCACGAAATATATTTCCACAAGCATTACTGCCCAGAATTAATTTTTCCCCTTAAGTTTCTGAATGCAGTTGTACCTCAGAATCACAATTATGTTTCTTACTAAGGTTGACTTTTACTCAACATGATTTTGTTTTCTCAGAACTGCTTTGTGAAAAGGGTTTCATCTGTTTTGATTTTGCAAAGCGACCTTCAGAAGAATACTTTACTTGATATTACTGATAAATATTTTTGAACTCATTTTATGTCCAAGGCATTGTTGTAGATATTCCTGGGAATATAAAACTTATAATTTTTATCATTATTACCAATAATAGATGACAAACTGTAATAAAGGTTTTGATATAGGTACCTATGGTGGTGTTCAAGTGCTATTAAAAATGTGTGTAGAGATGTATGATAGGCCAGTGCAAAGGAAGGTCTAAACTAGTTTAAGAAATAAGGCTGATAGGTGAATTGAGGGAAGTTGCTGAATACCTGGAGAGAAAGACAATCATCAAAGGGAAGATTAAAACGGGAAATTAGCTTTTCTATTGGAAAACATTATACTGACAACTAGAATCACAGATTGTTTCTCTAAAAGCCTACATTATTTATAAATAAATATGTATATATATTTAATATAGGTATAGATACAGTAGCAAAGCCATGGGGAAAATCTTCAACTCTTAAGTCAGTGTTTTAGGATAGCAGGGAGAAGTTATATTGGAGCCATACCTTATGCCAAAAGTAAAAGCAGTTTTCAAGTGGGTGACAAGATTAAATATAAGAAACTTAACAGATTATAGAAAAATACAAATAAATTGAGTATGAGATCTAGAAAAAGTTTTATTGAAAAAGTGATTGACTTTTCAGGTAAACAGTGGATGTTTGTATAAAATTTTGCATCTCTCACGAGTATCTTGTGATTAAATGTCAAAAAGGAATCAATGGGGAAAATGGCAATACAAAGTGATTTTATTTGAATTAGTACTATTTTAACAATAAGTGTAATTTTTGTTGACCTCTTTTTCTTGGTTTCACAAACATACTGAGGAATTACACATACCTTAGCAACTAGATTGTTTTTCCTTCTCTGAAAAAGAATGCATGTTTGCATTATTAAAATTATAGACTATGTATTACTTATAAAATATCCTACTAAAAATATATACATTTAAATGATTATATGTGTATTGCGGTTATTTTGCCTATTAGTATAGTAAACACACCTATTTTGTGAAACCCTCTTAAAATTTTGCATGATTATAAATTGCCAAGAAAGTACATTGTTGAATCTCACATAGTGCAAATAAATTTGTTCCATTGATGGTGGCAAATTAAAAACACATCGATGTTCTTTTTAATTATTATTTAATATAATCACCTTTCAGTAGTAACACTGATAGAAGCTGGTATGGCTTAAAAAATTCAGAATATTATGTACCACCATAATTTAGTTGTGCCTACTACTGCAAAATTAAGCAGAAATCTCTTTTCCTGTCCACTATACTTTTCTGAAGGCTAATAGATTAACTCTTGATTTTTGCAATACATTTATTTAAGTTATAATTACTTCTTTTTTTAATTGACAAGTAAAAATGATACATCTTTATGGTATACAACATGATGTTTAGATATATGTATTCATTGTGGAATGGCTAAATTAAGCGATTTAACATTTACATTACCTCACATACTTACCGTTTTTTTGTGGCAAGAATGCATAAAATCCACTCTCTTAGCAATTTGCAAATATATAGTATACTGTTATTAACCGTAGTCACCATGATATATAAGTAGGTCTCTTGAACCTATTCCTCCTGTCTAACTGAAATTGTAGGCCTTTGACCAATGTTTCCCTAATTTCCCCCCTCTCCCAGCCTCTCGTAACTACTGTTTTACTTTCTGTTTCTATGAGTTCAGCTTTTTTATACTTTACATGTAAGTATTTGTCTTTCTGTGCCTTGCTTAATTTTATTTAACATATTGTCCTCCAGGTTCAACATGTTATATCACAAGTGACCAATTTCTTCTTTTATAAGACTGAATGGTATTCCATTGTATATATATACCATATTTTCTTTATCCATTCATCCATTGATAAGCACTTAGGTTGACTCCATATTTTCACTATTGTGAATAGTACTGCAATAAATGTGGAAGTGCAGGTATCTCTTCAATATATATTGATTTCCTTTCTTTGAATATATACCCAGAAGTGGGATTGCTGGATAATAAAATGTTACATTTTTAATTTGTTGAGGAACCTCCATACTGTTTTCCATAATGGCTGTACCAATTTTCATTCCCTCTAACAGTGTACAGGGTTCCCTTTTCTCCGTACCCTCACCAACAGTCATTATCTGTGATCTTTTAATATTAATTATAGCCATCCTAACAATTGTGAAGTGATACCTCATTATGGTTTCGATTTGCATTTCCCTGATGATTACTGATGTTGATCACCTTTTCATATACCTGTTGACCATTTGTATATTGTCTTTTGAGAAATGTCTGTTTGGGTTCCTTGCCCATTTTTTATCAAGCTATTTTCTTGCTGTTGAGTTGTGGGAGTTCCTTATATATTTTGAATATTAACCACTTATTAGAGTGTGGTTTGCAAATATATTCTCCCATTCTGAAAGTTGTCTTCACTCTGTCAGTTGTTTCCTTTGCTGTGTAGAAGCTTTTTAGTTTGGTGTAATCCTATTTGCCTGTTTTTGCTTTTATTTCCTGTGTAAAGTTATATCCTTTTAAAATTCATTTGTTATAAAATAAGAATATAATTTGATCCCTTCTGTCATTTTTTGTTTGTTTGTTTTTTGGTTTTTGGTTTTTTTTTACTGGAAGCGGGAAGGGTAAAATGTACAAGAGTCAGAACCTTATTTTGATATTTTACTTCTTACCTATAAACTTAGCATGGCACTTCCCAGAGACCTTATTTGGCCTGAATGACAAAAATGACATTAAAATCAATGATAAGAGAAGGAAGGGCATAGAAAAACTGATTACTTTAATCTTTGCATATTTTTTGAAGTTTTAATCATATATTTAAACTTTTCTTTTTCTAAGTCAGCAAATCACTTAATATGTATTTTAGCATCTGCTGTATCCAAGGACTGTGCACTATGTCATGTGCTATTTCTAAAGTGCATGGGTACAACGTAGTGATTATAGTTAATAACAATGTATTGCATACTTGACAATCACTAATGAGGGGGGTGAAATGGGCAGATGTAGGTTGAAGGATCCCAGCTACTGAGGAGGCTGAGGTAAAAGGATCATTTGAGCTCAGGAGTTTGAGGCCAGCCTGGATAAAAAAAAAGCAAGAGCCCCATCTCTTTAAAAAAAAAAAAAAAAATACATAGTTGTAGATCTATAGGTTGAATAAGTCTCGAAATCAAATGTGCAACATGAGGAGTATAGTTAATAATATTGTATTATATTTGGGATTTTTGCTAGAAGAGTAGATTTTAGGTGTTCTTGCCATACATACACACAAAAGGGGTAACTGAGATAATGGATTGTTAATTTGATTAACATAGTAACCATTTCACTGTGTGTGTATATCAAAACATCATGTTTACCCTTTAAACATATGTAATTTAAAAATTGAATTAAATCCATGCAGCTGTGCCCATTAACAAAAGAAAAGAAAAAAAAAAATTGAATTAAAAAATAAAATTACCAAGAGAATAGATTTAAGTGTTCTCACCACAAAAATGAAGTATATGAGGTAATGCATATGTTAATTAGCTCAATTTAGCCATTCTACAATGCATACATGTTTCAAAACATCATTTTGTATACCCTAAATATATATAATTGTTATTTGTCCAATTAAAAAATTTACACAGGTAAAGTCTCAGAGAACTGTTAATTAGAAATCCTAGAATGTTGGAATATATAACTTTAAAAGCAGTGGTTTTCAGCCTTTTTATCTGCTTCAGCATACCTGAGAGAAAGGACATAATTTAATAGTGGCTTACTATAAGGATGAAAAAGTCTAGAAAGAAGCATGTGTGCTTTGAAAATGTCTTACCTCCTACTGATTTTGAAGCCTTCGTTCCACTACATATCTACCTTTCACACACCCACAAATCAAGAATTACTGGGAGAATAATGAGACTTTTTAGACCTATATATGATAGCTTTTTTATGCAAATAAGTATTGTCTTTTTTCCAGTGGTACTTGTATAAAACATTTTTGTGACACTTCTTTTGGAAGACAGTTCTAACAATTGATGGACCCGTTAAGGAACCTGATCTCATTATGTGAGTCTTATCCTATGTTTGACCCAAAAAAAAACCAAAAAACAACCTTATATTGCCTACCTTGATTACCAAATTCATTTACCATACCTTATTTCCAAAATACTTTGGTTCATTTCCCTAAAAACAAAACAACGCTGAGTTGATAAAGACTGGCTCCCCATGAGGCAAGCCAAGAGTCATCTCTAAGAGCAGATTCAAGGAAAAGTTTCTAATCTTGTCAATAGAGTTTTCAGTGGTTGTTCAAACTCAGGAACTGAAACACCTGGGACCTAAAAGTTCTGATATGTATGAAAAAAAAATCATCAACATTATCATATATTTGTATCTCAGGTAGGTAGGTGGTTGTATAATTTCTTTTTTGTTGATGTTGTTTGTTCATTTTCTATTGGTCAAAAAATGACTACATGATTATTTTTGAAGCATTCTCCAGTGTCTCACAATAACCATCTTATTATTTTCCTCTCTCTTTGTGCTTACCTCTGCAGGTGAAGGTTGCTATCCTTAAATACATAGAAACTCTGGCCAAACAGATGGATCCAGGAGATTTTATAAATTCCAGTGAAACTCGCCTAGCAGTGTCTCGGGTCATTACTTGGACAACAGAACCTAAAAGTTCTGATGTTCGGAAGGTGTGTTTTAATATAAGGTTTAGAAGATAAATTGGGAAAGCAAGTAAGTAGTTTTGGATTGCCAGTGAAGGAAGCTAATATTTTCAGGACGTTACCAGTTAGCAGTGAGTTATGAAGATCTTTTAAAATATCGTTTCATTTAAATTCCTTTAAATCTTATCCAGTTAATATGAACATAATTTTCAAACTTAGAATCAAAAATAGCTGTCCTTGCAACAATCCTCCCAACCTCTAATCTTCTAACCATTCACAATATCAAATCATTCCTCTTGCATTTACTCATGTATTTCAAATAAGAGCTTACACTGTTTCTTGATCTATCAATTGTAGGCATTGTTTTTTGATTTATTGATAAACGTAGGCATTATGTGTATCTGTTTGTCTTGGTAAGTGAAAACTTAGCTTTCCCATATTATTCCTACATTCTTTTGCTATATCCTTCCCATATTCATAAGTATTCATAACATACTTATGAATCTATTGATAATTAATAGAAAAGATTTACATTTGGCTGTGCAGGTGTTTACTCCCATACCAAGTGATTTGCTACTGCCTTCTTTCTTATAGAAACTTAATCTGTCCTGGAGTTAATACTTTGCCTTATATTTCATTTGCCTGTATTTTTTCAAATGTTTTTTAGTATCTGTTAATATTTTCAATATTTCTGCCACATGCTGATGGCTAATATTTTCCATATGCTCAAAAACATAGCTTTTTTATTTTCTGAAGAGCTCCTTCCTAGACCCTCTGATCTCTTCTCCAATTTGGACATGTTTCTCCCTAGGCCTGCTGCACAGGTATCTTCCTGAAACTTCTCTTCAACATTTTCCTGAGGCTTCTCTTTATCTCTAATTATTTATTTTTTGCATCTATACCTACTTCTATGTACTCTCTTTGGTGGATCATTTCCTTCAATATTTGCTGCAAAAGAGTACACAGAATATAAATTTTGTGATCTTTATTTGCAGTAATGAATGTTGTAACCACAAATAGCAGAATATAAATTATTCTCAAGTACATACACAGCATTCTGCATGCTAGGCCATGAAATAAACCTCAGTAGTTTAAAATGATAAAAATAATACAAAGTATGTTCTTTGACCACAATGGAATGAAATTAGAAAACAATAACAGAAGGAAATTTAGGAAGCTCATAATTACATGGAAATTAAACAACTCACTCCTAAATAACCAGTGGGTGAAAGAAGAAATCAAAAGGAAAATTTGAAAACACATTGAGATGAATGAAAATGAAGGTATGACATACCAAAACTTACAGGATACAGCTAAAGCAGTGCTTAGTGTGAAGTTTATAGCTGTTAATTCCTATAATAAAAAGAAGAAAGATCTCATATCAATAACCCAATTCATCACCAGAAGACACTGGAAAAAGAGGAGCAAACTAAACCTGAAGCCAATGGAAAGAAGACCATAATCAAGATTAAAGCAGAAATTAATGAAATAGAGGATAGAAAAACAATAGAAATCAAAACAGTGAAACCAATAGCTAGTTCTTTGAAAAGGTCAACAAAACTGACATTTAGCTAGATGAATCAGGATAGAAAGAAGACTCAGATTACTAGAATTAGAAATGAAATAGGGAATATATAATAACTAATGACCTTACAGAAATAAAAAGGATTATAAAGGAATAATATGAATAATTGTATGCCAATAAATGAGATAACTTAGATGAAATGGACAAATTCCTAGAAAAACACAAACTGCCAAAACTCACTCAAGAAGAAATAGATAATGCAAATAGTACTGTTACAAATAAAGAGATTGACTTAGTAATCATAAACTATGCACAAAGAAAAGCTCAGGCTCAGGTGGCTTCACTGATGAATTCTACCAAACATTAATACCAGTTCTTCACCAAACATTAATACCAGTTCTTCAAAAAAAACGGAAGAGGAAGGACACTTCTCAATTCATTCTATGAGAGCAGTTTTACCCTGATAGCAAAACCAAACAGAGATACCACAAAAAAACAACTACTGACCAGTATCTCTTAGGAATTTGGATGCCTTAATCCTCAACAAAGTACTGGCAAACCAAATCCAGCAATATATAAAAAAGAATTATTTACCATGGCCATGGCCAAGTGGGATTTACCCCAGGAATATAAGGTTAGATTAACTACAAAAATCTACTCATGTGTAATAAACCATATCAACGGGGGTTGGGAGGAACACACAAAAATCATAGAATCATCTCAGTAGACACAGAAAAATAAAACTCTTAAGAAGAAAGCATAGGGATAAATCTTAATGACCTTGGATTTGGCAATGGATTCCTAGATATGATACCAAAAACACAAGCAACAAAAGGATAAATAAATTAGATTTCATCAAAATTAAAATTTGAAATTGAAATCCCAAGAACAAGTATACTGAGGTGACTGTAGAAACCATTGGCACATTTTTAAGTAAGGGGATGATACAGTCTATGTTTTCAAAGGTTATGCTGGCTGATGTCACAAAAATGGACTGTTGGTATTTTGTATAAGGGAAAAGAGTGGAAAGGGTAGGGCTGATATTGAAAGGATTCTAATTCCACATCTATTGTAGTAGGAAGTCACTAGAAAATGTCTCAAGTTGATAAATCAAGAAATGATTGTATAAACCTATACATGCCTAACAGTAAAAATAAGCATTACAAAGGGGAACTTTGGAGAGCTGAACAGAGGAATTGTAATTTAAAACCTTTCCTAAAGCTAAGTTTTTAAAATCTGTATGTATGTATTATTTTGATTTAAAGATGTAAAAAATTATTTTAAAATAACTATAAAATATATTTAGTAAAATGTGACATTAGAAAATAAAAAACCAACAGAAATGAAGGACATGATGAAAATATACTAAAGCTATAGTATTTTAAGTCATGTGATATTAATATAGAAATAGGCAAATTGGCCAGGTGCAGTGGCTCACGCCAGTAATCCTAGCACTTTGGGAGGCAAAGGCAGAAGGATTGCTTGAGGCCAGGAGTTTGAGACCAGCCTGAGCAATAGTGAGACCCTGTCTCTACAAAAATTTTAAAAAATTAGGTCTGGTGGTGTATGCCTTATAGTCCCAGCTACTTGGGAGGCTGAGACAGGAGGATTGCTTGAGCCCAGAAGTTTGAGGTTTCAGTAAGCTATGATGACCCCACTGAGCTTAAGCCCAGGCAAAAGAGCAAGACCCTGTCTCAAAAGAAAAAATAGACAAATCAGTGGAACATGAAGGAGGATCCAGAGAGACACTGAGGTTCATATAAGAGATTAGTTCTTAGCAAGGGTGTCATGAAGAAAGGATAGACTCATTGGTAAATGGTTTGGGAACAATTGGGTTGTCTGTCCCTGGGGGTAAATAAATAAAGCTGAATCTCTAAACCAAAATAAACTCTACATGTAATAAAGTGTATGTTAACAATCATTAGTTCATTTGTACAAATTAACTGGAGGTCCTTTTAGTGTTGTAGTTCCAAAAAAGATACAAGATTACAAATTGTTTTCACAATGCAGTTTGCTTTATGTAATCACTATTAACATGTTAGTATGTATACTCGTGCAATCTATGCTTTGTTTTTTAAAATTGAGCTCATGTTATAGTTATATTTTTCCTTCAGCAGTCTATAATAGATGTCTCTCAATATCTATGTAAATAGAGCTACATCTTCAAAGACTGTGTGTTGTGTAGTATTCCATTGTTCCAGTGTAACATAATATAATCATCCCCCCAGTGTCGTATATTCAAATGCCATAAACATAGAATACTGAAGTTTTTGTAGACTAGGGTCAAAAAATGTTCAGAACAAGATGTACAGATTTAACTACAAGTTACCATTTGAGTTTCTCTCTTCTCTCAATTAAGTTTCTGTATAATCTGAATTTCACAGTTTAGCTTTTAATAACTGAGTTAATTAGAAGAAGAAAAGAAATGTATAAATTTTCTTAGGCTGGCCGTGGTGGCTCACGCCTGTAGTGCTAGCACTCTGGAAGGCTGCGGCAGGAGGATCATTTGAGCTCAGGAATTGAGACTAAACTGAGAAAGAGAGAAATCTGTCTCTACCAAAACAAAAGGAAAAAAACCCAGCCGGCGTTGCAGCATGTGCCTGTAGTCCCAGCTACCTGGGAGCCTGAGGCAGACGGATTGTTTAGAGCCCAGGAGTTGGAGGTTGCAGTGAGCTACAGTGATGCCACTGCTGCACTTTAGCCAGGGCTACAGAGACTCTGTCTCAACAAAACCAAGCAAGGTAATTTTTAAAAATTAAATTAAAAAATTTAAGTTTTCTTAAAAAGAATATGTAAGTTTTCTTAAGTAAGCTTTATTTTATTCTCATTTCCACAAAACATGAAACTTATTTTAGCTTAAAATTATAGACTTAGGTTAGTTGCTTGAGAGAAGACTAGATATTGCTAGTTAATTGAAGAATCACATATTGAAAAAGTAGAAATTACAGTATTAGGTTCCTGTGGATGAGCTTTATATAGCCATTCTTTTTCCTTGTAATCATTTATTAGGAAAACCAAAATACCAGTAGTATGTATGGATAGAGAAACCCTAGAAAATGTCTGGTTAACTTTTGCCATTGTTTGTGAGGTTGTATTTTTTATATTTTTTGTATTGCCTTCTTACCTTCAAAAAATAAAAGGTATATATGCCTTTGTTTTCTAGGCAGCACAGTCAGTGCTGATTTCTTTATTTGAACTCAATACCCCAGAGTTTACAATGTTATTAGGAGCTTTACCAAAAACTTTTCAGGATGGTGCTACTAAGCTTCTTCATAATCACCTTCGAAACACTGGCAATGGAACGCAGGTATTTCTCACTTACTTTCTTGCCTGTTGTGCAATGTGATGGTTGATTTAACAATAAATGCTTTTTACAAGAAGTAAACTTGATCCTAGTATATGATTTTTGCATCTGCACTTGGCAGCATTTCCTGAGCAGAATTAAATACTGTCTTGTAAGAATAGAGTCCCTGGGATGTCATGCTTGTTTTATAATTTGTGTACATTAGAGTGCTGGTGAACAGTGGCCACAATATGAATAAGGAAAGCAGAACATAGATGAGGGCACTAGCTTTGGAAGCCATTAAAATAAGACATCCTCCTTCAAAGAACCAATCCCTATTTGAGGACTAGCAGGGATGACTTATTCCAGCATTAACAAATAAGGTTCAAAGAGGGTGGTACTTTAAAAAGTATGTTCACATTTAATGATTACTGGCTTGTCAGTCCATATGTTTTTGGATATGAAGGATTTTGTTTTGAGGAAGTAAGATGTGAGTAAATGAAACATTGCATTGAGATAGATACATATATACAGGTGGTGGGATATCACTGTATGAAATAATTTACATAATATGCCCAAAGAATTGAGCTAAAGTTTTAAAAAGAAAGGCCTTTGCTATCATAGAAAGGAGAAGGTAAATGCACTGATGGCAGGCTTAAGGTAAAGTCTGAGGAATGTTAAAAAGTAATCTGAGAACAATTTCTTGTAACCCAAAGTTGGTTATCTTTTTAAAAGGAGAAGGGATTGTTTCATTATATCTTAAGAGATAGACATATTAATAATGTAACCATCTTTTACTCCCTTGGTGTCTTTGAGAAAATCATTTGTAAAGCAAACTCAAGGTATAAAATTGGAGCACTAGTAATGGTTGAAGGAAGGAAATTGGCTTAGAACAGGAAGCTAATTTAAAATTAATAGTGTAGGATCTTGTTGAATCCTTGAGGGAAAAATTAATAATATCTGAGAGCAGGAAGCAGGTGAGGAAAACAGAAAAAAACTAAAGAGTTAAATTTCTAAAAGGGGAGAAATTTTTTCCTCCAGAAACTAGATATAAGTACATGAATATTTAAAATATTGACCTATAAATATGGTTCTTTCATGTGTTCCAACCTCATGTTTATGTTGCTTCCTTAAGAGTTTTTTAGTTGCATTTATAATGTTAATATTAATTTTGATTCCTTCCATCAGAGTTCCATGGGTAGTCCTTTGACAAGACCAACACCACGATCACCAGCCAACTGGTCCAGTCCTCTTACTTCTCCTACCAATACATCACAGAATACTTTATCTCCAAGGTAAAAAAAAAAAAAGATAATTTTCCATTATGTTTTGTATTTACAAATTCCCATTCTTAGAAAAGCAAATGTTAATATAATTCCAGTCAATTCTCATTTGTCTTGAAAAGTCTTAGAAAAGTAGAAACTTAGCAAATTCAAAAATTTTAAGTTTAGTTGAAAGCTGTTTAAATGATAATATATAGGATATGGAATTTTTTTATGAAAAGAAATCCCGACACTGCTTTTATAAATTACTGCTTGTTGCATTAAATAGCATACTTATGTTTCTCAGAGATGCTACATGTAGTATATATAGACATACTAAATCCCATAAATTGTAAATTGTATCTTTCATTTACATTATATTTCTCAGTATAAATGGTGAGGTCAATTATAATGATGGATATTTACATCTAATGTTGACCAACCACCTCTAAAAGTAGGAAAAAATATTAGGCTTACAGGAAAAATATAAAAGTAGAGAAGAACAAATAGGGAAGGGGTAAATATATAACATTTATTATAGATATATATAGAGAGAGATCTATAATGCATATATACTTCTGAGGAAAAAATATAACTAAGAGATTGGTCCTTAAAACAAAGTAAAAGATGTGTATAATTTTCACACGCTTGCACAATTTAAGCATAGGCTGGTTTTTTTGTTTTGTTTGAGACAGAGTCTCACTCTGTCCTCCAGGCTAGAGTGCATTGCTGTCATCATAGCTCACTACAACCTCAAATTCCCTGGCTTTAAGTGATCCTCCTATCTCAGCCCCCCAAGTAGCTGGGACTACAGGCATGCACCACCATGCTTGGCTGATTTTTTGTTTGTTTTTTTTTTTGTAGAGACGGGATCTCATTCTTTGCTCAGGCTGGTCTCAAACTCCTGGCCTCAAGCAGTCCTCCTGCCTTTGCCTCCCAAAATGCTAGGATTATAGGCATGAGCCACTGTGCCTGGCCCATGGGCAATATTTCAAATGAAGTTCATTACTCATTAATAGACTAACATTTTTTCCCTATTTCTGGCCTTTTGAAAAACAGTTTGTGTAGTAGTTCTACACACTATAATATTTATAGTGTAATATTTATAGTATATAATATATTACTGTATGTTATATAATATACATTAATATATTATATAATATACAATAATATACATTTATATTACATTTATGTGTATATTAAATACATTATATGTATATTATATGTAATGTATGTAATGTATATGTATATCATATGTAATGTATATTATATGTAATGTAATATATTATATGTAATGTATATTACATATATTATGTGTATATTACATATACATATAAATACATATAATATTTATATGTACATATAATATATACATACATTATATGTATACATAATACATATATATTATATAACATACATTTAATATATTATATAATATATAATATTTATAGTGTAATATTATAATAACTATAATATTTATAGTTAATAGCTTGATTTTTGTTATTAGTCATATACCATAGCATGCTTCATCAGATTATCCATTAAAATTATAGGACAATTCACAAGCATCTAAGAAAAACACATTGTATATTTATCGTCTAGCATATTTCTTCCATATTATACACATGTAACAATTTTGGTGTCTAAATTTTACCTTCGGTTCAGTTTCAGAATTTGATTATAGAATTCATCTCAATAACATTTATGTTCAATGATAACAATTCTCTGCCTTCTTATAAATATTAAAAGAAATTTAGTTCAAGACGTACCATTATTCGGAGTTAATCACAGGGATTGGCAAACTTTCTGTAAAGAGTTAAGTGGTAAATATTTTAGATTTTCCAAGCCATGTGGTCATTGTGACCACTACTCAACTCTGCCATTGTAGTACAAAATCAGCCATAGATAATACCTAAATAACTATGACTATGTTCCAACAAAATTTTACTTATGGACAGTGAAATTTGAATTTTATATAATTTTCGTGAGTCATGAAATTTTGTTTTCAACCATTTAAAAATGTAAAAAAACACTCTTAGGCCAGGCGCGGTGGCTCACGCCTGTAATCCTAGCACTCCGGGAGGCCGAGGCGGGCGGATTGCTCAAGGTCGGGAGTTCGAAACCAGCCTGAGCGAGACCCCGTCTCTACTAAAAAAATAGAAAGAAATTAATTGACCAACTAAAAGTATATATACAAAAAATTAGCCGGGCATGGTGGTGCATGCCTGTAGTCCCAGCTACTTGGGAGGCTGAGGCAGAAGGATCACTTGAGCCCAGGAGTTTGAGGTTGCTGTGAGCTAGGCTGACGCCACGGCACTCACTCTAGCCTGGGCAACAAAAAGTGAGACTCTGTCTCAAAAAAAAAAAAAAAAAAACACTCTTAGCTTGCAAGATATCCAGTTTGCCTGACCTGGTTAATCATTTGAAGGTGGAAAAACAAAACAATTATTAAGGGTTGTGCATCCTAGAGTCTTTGTAAGCTGTCCTTGGTGGAAGGACTACTTTAACCATTTACAGCTGCCGTGTTTTTTTTCGCTAATTATGCTTTGGAGAATATACATTCTCTAATGCTGTCTTTTAAAATATTCTCAAATGTGTTTGCATTTTTAAATTACACATAATTAAAAATCAGTGTTGTCTTTTTCATAGTGCATTTGATTATGACACAGAAAATATGAACTCTGAAGATATTTATAGCTCTCTTAGAGGTGTTACTGAAGCAATCCAAAATTTCAGCTTCCGTAGTCAAGAAGATATGAATGAGCCATTGAAAAGGGATTCTAAAAAAGATGATGGTGATTCAGTGAGTATCTAAATATCTTTACTTTGCAAACTATTCCATTTTTCATTAAGAATATATTTTTTTAACTTTCTGTCATTTTCAAATAAACTTTTCTAAGGAGTCAGTGACTCCGTTAATATTTACTGAGTATCCGCTACATGCTAGGCACCGTTTCAGGTGTTAGATTTACAAGATGAAGTCTCTGCCTTGAAGTTCCCTTTAAATTTTCATAGAGGAATGAGGACTATGGAGTTTTAGATTAGAATGTGCCTTAGAGGAAAGGACCTATTTTAGATCGTGTGATCAGGGAAGGCCTCTCTCCAGTGAGTGGCATTTGCATTGAGCCCTAACTAAAGCCACACAAAATCTGGAGGAGAATTCCATGAAAGAATTAGCAAGTGCAAAGGTACTTAGATGGGAACATAGTTGAGCACCAGGATGAAAGCCAGTATAGTTGGAGCATTATGAATGAAAGGGGGAGTGGAACATGGGCCAGATCACATGAGTCCTGTAAAACAAAATAACAAGTTTAGATTTTTTTTTTCACTGTTAAGTGTAGTGATAGTGATTTACCATCATCAGTTTATGTGGCTCCAGTTAAGACTATTATGACCTATCTTTCTGACATATATGAATATTATTGTTTAGTTTGTTGCTTCTGCCATGATACAAAAAATAGTTGTTTTATATTTTGCTGCTTCTTAGACTTTTCTGTGACAGCTTAGACTTTTCTCAAAACAAGCCATCCCACCAGTTCCTGCAGAGTCCATTGTTTCTCAGTGTTTACAAAATTGCAGAACATTGTAGCACTTCAGCACATCTCTAAGGGGCTCCTTCTTTTGTCTTCCTAACTTATTTCCCTCTATAGTTTTTCTCCCCATGCTCATCTGGCAGAGCTAGGTTGTGGTTGGCCTGGTAAAATGGCTGTCAAAAACCAGCCTACCACTAATACTTAAGATCCCCTATTCTAAAAGCTGCATGTGGTAACAATGACAGGTTAGTAAGTAAGAATGATCACCTAACATGTTAACTGCCATATGAGTTATATTTAACTCACTCTAGTGTTGAGCCTGGGGTCTCATGAAGCAAATGTAGCTCACATGTGTCTCTTTACCTTGGGAGCCAGGTGAACTATTTTTTAGTTTTGCATATAACTCACGCAAAGAAAGTAATAAAAAATAACAAATTTTTCATTAAATCAGAAAAGATCATTTTATTTTTAAAGTTTTTATTCTATTTTCATAATGAAACACCATGGCCCCAAGGAAAAAAAAATTTTTTTCTAGTGTGGCAATCAGTGTATATTTGAGACCCACTTTTTTTTTTTGCTTTTTCAGACTCAACATGGTACAGGTAGGGAATTCAAGTAGTAGATTTTGACAGGATGAATTTTTAGAATGTTATATTCTTTTTAGAATGTTATAGAGATATTTGAAAATGAGTTATTTTGCTGTGCTTCCTCCTTTCCATTGATAGATGTGTGGTGGTCCGGGGATATCAGACCCAAGAGCAGGAGGTGATGCTACTGACTCAAGCCAAACAGCTCTTGATAATAAAGCGTCATTGCTCCATTCAATGCCTACTCACTCCTCTCCTCGCTCTCGAGACTATAATCCATATAACTATTCAGATAGCATCAGTCCCTTCAACAAGTCTGCCCTCAAGGAAGCCATGTTTGATGATGATGCTGACCAGTTTCCTGATGGTATGTTCTGGGTCACATGCTGCTACTAACTGTGTTTAAGAGGACTGGAAATCAAAGACACAAAAGAAATGTATATGCTGTTTTATTGTAACTCCCTAAAAAGTAAGGATCTTTGGGATGAGAATGTTTTCTCCCATTTTGTAGGAGATCATTACTAATGGTTTGGTAATTTTCTTCCCCAGAATGAGAAACGGTAGTTATCTTGGGATCATCCTCAAAATCAAGAAAACCTTAGTGACTTCCCAGAAATAACAAAAACCAATTATAGCTTGTAAATTTAGTTTATCTCTAAACACAAGTCATTCAGCCATTAATTTTCACACCAGAATGCAAAAACTTTTGTAGAAATATCCATTCTTTATAACAGCCCTTTGAGTGGGAAGCCATAAACAAATTACTTTTCTAATAACACACATTTCAAGGACCAAATATGAGGGAAGCTACCATTAGTATTTAAAGTTAGGTTAAATATGCTTAGGATGAGTTCTAACACTTAACTAAACTGCATAGCTTAGTAAGGTGATTGACCTTCCTGAGTCTCAGTTGTTATCCTTAAAGAGGTTGGTGATGATTGTACTACCTGCCTTTCTGATAAGATGTTTAAAAACTGATGATAAAGTACAAAGCACTACAAATGTCTTAGGGGCTTTTTTGTCGTAATTTTTTTTTTAATAGAGATGGGGTCTCACTACATTGCTTAGGCTGGATTCAAACTTCTGGGCTCCAGCAATCCTCCCACCTTAGCCACCCAAGTAGCTGGGACCTTACTTGTGCCACTGTACCCAGCTAGTTGGGTTTGTTTTGTTTTCTTTCATCCAAAGTCTTGCTCTTGTCACCCCAGCTAGAGTACAATGCATCATCATAGCTCACAACAACCACAAACTCCTGGGCTGAAGTGCTCCTCCTACCTCAGCCTCCCAAGTAGCTGGGACTACAGACATGCACCACCACACAGGGCTAATTTTTCTATTTTGAGTAGAGATGAGGTCTCACTCTTGCTCAGGTTGGTCTCGAACTCCTGACCTCAAAGGATCCTCCCACTTCTGCTTCCCAGAGTACTAGGATTATAGGCGTGAGCCACCACACCTGGCTACCATCTAGTTATTTTTAATAATAAGAAATTATATTTCTTTTATAAGTTTCATAATTTATTAATTCTTTTGTTTTTTAAATAACCATTTGTAGATAAACTTGAAAGTCTTTCTGTCAACACTATCCCATGATTCTGCCTTTACCTAGTTTCTGGTTTTTCTTTATTCTCATAATGTTACTGTCAGTGAACATATTTCTGTATAAACTTTTATGGACATTTACAAATAATTCACTCGTAAGAGATTTCTAGAGGTGCAATTGCTCGATTAAGGGATATGTGAATTTAAAATTTGAGAGCTACTACCCAATTACATCTCAGAACATTTGGCCAGTTTAAGTAATGTTGATTTCCTCACCAAAAGAATGTTTAAATGTTTTTAATTTTTGTGATTGTGATGGATACAAAATAGGTCATCTTAATGTGTATTTCCTTGACTTTCAGGGAGATTGAGGAACTACTATGGATGTTAGAAATCTTTTTGAATTTGTGTAATTTTTGATGAGTATAATGATAACTTCATATGTATTTCTTTAATTACAAATGAGGTTGAGGAATCATGTTTTTATCACCCTCTTATGTAAAAAGGGTGTCACCAATATCATAAAGCCCAAATTATGGCAACTTACCAAACTAAGTCTAAATTATATGATAATGTAGAAAATTGCCACAATATGGACTTTGATCTGTGTTTTAATCTGTCACAAATAGTTGAGTGTGTTGCTGAGGTTTAGTCATAATAGCAGTGTAACATGAATGATAAATTGGACTAAGCATAAAAGTAGTTTTTGAACGCTATGTGATAGCAACAGCCTGGTAAGTTGAGAGTTACCTTTAGCAGTTTTAATTATTTAAAAATTATTCATGCACACGGATCACAAACTGGGCAGACTAAATTGGATCCACTGATATTTTTGCATTGATTACACTGTGTGTGTGTGTGTGTAATTTTTCTTTGAAAATGGGGGAAGTGAGGTTCAATCTTTTTTTTTTTTTTTTTTTTTGAGACAGAGTCTCACTCTATCACCCTGGGTAGAATGCAGTGGCATCATCATAGTTCACTGCAGCCTCAAACTCCTGGGCTCAAGCAATCCTCCTGCCTCAGCCTCCCAAGTAGCAAGGAACTACAGGCACGTGCCACGATGCCCTGCTAACTTTTCTATTTTTAGTAGAGATGGCATCTCATTTTTGCTCAGGCTGGTCTCAAACTCCTGAGTTCAAGCAATTCTCCTACTTCGACCTCCCAGTGGAGTGCTAGGATTACAGACGTGAGCCATTATGCCCATCCAATTTTTTTTTTTTGCATATTATGGGGTACAGATTTTAAGGTTTCAATAAATGCCCATTTCCCCCCCTCACCCATCCAATTTTTTAACATTTAAAAATGATCAAAAGAACTGTTCTTCCTGCATCATTTGAAAATAAGTTACCAACCTGACATTGCATTACCCCAAATACTTAAGGATTCATTTTCTAGAAAAACATTCTACATAACCACAATAATATTTATCAAAATCAGGAAATTAGCTTGGTGGGTAGCACACACCTGTAATCCCAGCTACTCAGGAGGCTAAGATGGGAGAGGCCCTTGAGTCCAGGGTTTGAGTCTGCAGTACCCTATGATCATACATGTGAATACCCATTGCACTCCAGCTTGGGCAATATAGTAAGACCCTATCTCTAAAAAAAAATTTTAATTAAAAAAAATCAAAAAATTATCATTCATACATTAATAACCACCTAATCCTTAAACTCTATTAGAATTTTACCAGTTGTCCTAGTAATACCTTTCTTTTTCCAATTTCTTTGTTTTGTTAAATTCTTAACATAAAATGTGCTATATTAGGCATTTTAAATATACAGTTCAGTGGTATTAAATGTATTCATATTGTTGTTCAACCATCATAACCATCCATCTCCATAACATAATAAACTCTTTTAATGTTGTAAAACTGACACTCCATACTCATTAAATAATAACTTCCCAGTCCCTACCCCAGCCCTGGGAACAATCATTCTTCTCTCTCTATGATTTTGACAACTCTCAGTACCTCATATAAGTGGAATCATACAGTATTTGTCTTTTGTCACTGGCTTATTTCATTTAGCATAATATCCTCAAGGTTCATCCATTTCGTAGCATATGTCAGAATTTTCTTCCTTTTTAAGGCTGAGTAATGTTCCATTGTATGTATATATCACATTTTGCTTATCCATTCATCCATTGATGGACACTTGGGCTGCTTCCATGTTTTAGCTATTGTGAATAATGCTGCTATGAACATTGGTGTACACATACCTCCTTGAGACTCTGTTTTCAAAGTTTGGTGGTATATACCCAGAAGTAGACTTGCTAGATCATACGATGATTCTATTTTTAATTTTTTGAGGAACCCCTATACTGTTTTCCACAGCGGCTATACCATTTTACATTCCCATCAACATTGCACAAGGGTTTCATTTTCTCCACATCCTCACCAATACTTATTTTGGGATTTTTTTAGTAGTAGCCATGCTGGTGGGTATGAGGCAATACCTCATTGTAGTTTTGATTTTCATTTCCCCAGTGATTAGTGATGTTGAGCATATTTTCGTTTACTTATTGACCATTTGTATATCATCTTTATAGAAATGTCTTTTCTAATCTTTTGCCCATTTTTGAATTAGGTTATTTTTTTGTTGTTGAGTTGTAGGTGTTCTCTTTAGTTTCTGGATATTAATTCCTTGTCAGATATGTGATTTGCAAATATTTTCTCCCATTCTGTGGGTTGCCTTTTTACTCTGTTGATACTGTTTTTTGATACATTTTTAAATTCATGAGGTTCAGTTTGTCAATTTTTTTGTTGTTGCCTTTGTGTCATATCCAAGAAGTCACTGCCAAATCTAATGTTGTAAAGATTTTAACCTCTTCTAAGAGTTTTATAGTTTTAGGTCTTACATTTAGGTCTTTGATCCATTTTGAGTTAATTTGTATATGGTATGAGGTAAGGTTCAACTTCATTCTTTTGCATATGGATATCCAATTTTCCCATCAACGTTTGTTAAGAAGTCTTTCCTTTCCCCATTAAATGGCCTTGGCACCATTGTCAGAAATCATTTGACTATATATGCAAGGACTGATTTCTGAGCTGTCTATTCTATTCTATTGTTCTGTATGTCTGTCTTTATTCTAGTAACACACTCTTTTGATTACTGTAGCTTTCTAGTAAGTCTTGAAATCAGGAAGAATTGTGACTCCTCCCGCATTATTCTTTTTTGGCTATTTCGGGTCACTTGAGATTCCATGTAAATTTTACGGTAGATTTTTTTATGTCTGCAAAAAACATCATTGGGATTTTGATAGGGATTGCATTGAATCTGTAGATCACCTTGGATATTATTGAGATCTTAATAGTAAGTCTTCCAATTTATGAAAATGGGATGTGTTTCCATTTATTTGTATCTTCTTTTATTTCTTTCAGCAATGTTTTCTAGTCTTCGTTATACAAGTCTTTTCACCTCCTTGGTTAAGATAATTCCTAAGTTTAGTCATGCAGCACATAATGACATTTTGTTCAACAACAGATCACACATACAATAGTCCCAAAAGATTATAATAGAGCTGAAAACTTCCTGTCACCTAGTCACATCACAGTGGTTCTAATTTCATAGTGTAATACATTGCACGTGTTTGTGATGATGCTGGTGTAAACAAACCTACAGCACTGCCAGTCATATAAAAGTATAGTGCACAGAATTATGTATAGTACATAATATTTGGTAGTGATAATAAACAACTATGTTACTGGTTTATGGATTTATACTTTTTATCATTGTTTTAGAGTGTACCCCTTCTACTCATTAAAAAAACAAAAAACAAAAAACCAACACTTAAATGTAAAACAGCCTCAGAGCAGGTCCTTCAAGAAATATTCCCAAAGAAGACATTGTTCATAAATAAACAAACAAAAAACCCCCACAGTAAACATTATACTCAATGGTGAAAGATAGAAAATGTCTCACTCCTTTTGCCCTCCATAGAGTTCCATGGCATCAGCCTAGCTCACTGCAACCTAAAACTTCTGGGTTCAAGCAATCCTCCTGCCTCAGCCTCCCGAGTAGCTGGGACTACAGGCAAGCACACGACACCTGGCTAACTTTTCTATTTTTTGTAGAGATGGGATCTCACTATTGCTCAGGCTGGTCTCGAACTGCTGACCTCAAATAATCCTCCCACCTCAGCCTACCAGAGTGGTGGGATTACAAGCGTGAGATATCATGCCCAGCTCTTCAATCTTTTTTCTTTCTGTTCCTCAAACTTAATAATTTCTATTGCCCTATATTCAAGTTCACTGATTCTTTCTTCTGCCTGCTCAAGTATGCTTTTGAAATAATTCCATTAGTGAATTTTTTATTTTAGCCACTACGCTTTTCAGATCTAGAATTTCTTTCTGGTTTCCTTTTAGGTTTCTTAACTCTTTATTGACATTTCCATTTTGTTCATATATCATTTTCATGACTTTCTCCACATCTTTTTTTACTTCTTCAAGCATGTTTAAGACAGTTATTTTAAAGTCTTTGTCTAATATATCTGCCATCAGATCTTTTTCAGGGTCAGTTTTTGTTTTTTCTTTTGAATGTACCATACTTCCTATTTGTGTGCCTTGTGATTTTTTGTAGAAAACTAGACATACTTGAATCTAATAATGTGGTAACTATGGAAATCAGATTGTCCCCCTACTGCAGGGTTTTCTGTTTTCTTGTTATTGTTTATTGTTTTTTATTTTGATTGTTGTAGGCTATCTCTGTGCCAGGGATCAGCCTGAGGTTTAAACTTAAGGTCTTTGGGGATCTTTTCTGAGTCTGTATCTTTCTCTGGGCATGTGTTGCCCCTTTCTAATTTTCCCTGTATATATAGTTGTTTTTTAATATCCTAGTCTTTAATATCTGGCTCTCAAGAACGGAAAAAGAGAAAAAGGAAGTGGGTAAGGAAAGGTTGCCAGTCCTTTAAGCCCCTGGAAGTCACTTTAGCTAGAGGGGAAGGGGTTTGCAACAATGGGAAAAGTGTAACAACAATGGCTGCCCACCTCTTTCTGTATCTTTGTGATCAGAAGCAGCAGTGATCATGACTAGGAAATTGGCTCTCATGACCATGGCACTTTTGAAGGTTAGAAACCAGTTATTTTGTAGTGTGTCTCTGAATATTGGTTTGTCTGATGTTTTCTCATGATTTGAGTCAGATTATGCATTCTTCACATCAGTATCATGGATGATGATACTACATTCTTTTCATTGCACCCTATCAAACAGTAACACATGCTTTCACTTTGCCCCTGACTGGTGATGTTAACTATGATCACTTAATTATGGTGGTGCTTACCAGGCTTCCTCACTGTGAAGCTACTTTTTCTCTTTGTAATAAATACATGTTTTATGAAGAGATATTTTAAAACAGAGAATATACTGTTCTTCACTAAACTTAAAATTTATTCATTTAAAAAATTGATGTGCATGTTTATAACTGTATGTCCTGTTATACTTAATAGAGTATAATTTGTAACTATCATTATTTATTTTGATGCTCAAATTGTCCTTGATTTGACCAGCAGGTTCCCATTCAAGCTGGCTCTTGGTTTTCTTTTGACATGTCCCCATCCTTGTATTATGGCATGACAAAATGTTGTACTATCCTGGGTTCAATCCTGGAATCAACCATTTCTCCAGGGATTCATTGTTCCATTTAATAGAAAATGGTTTTTAACAGCTAAAGTCTGGACACTAGATATACTTTCTGCTAGTAGGATGTCACTACTCCCCAGGCCTCTCCATAACCAGAGCTAGGGAGTGTGTGCAAGGGTGTGGGGGAGTGAGTATAGAGATTTACATCTCTATTTCTATATCTATATCTATCAGAAGCCATGCATTTACACCAGTAGCTCCAATTCCATTCTGACACCATGGGATTCTAATTTCCTTCTTTTCCATATTGATAACCCTGTTTTCTGACAGCAAGAAACCAAGCTTTCATTATCTTTAATATATACCTATTTGATCAGTCTGTATGCAACCAGTTTTCCATCTCCACTATCACCTCCTCACTTGCACAGATCTACTGTTCATCCTGCTGGGCTTGGATATTCCACCCTCACCCAAAGCCATGGATGCCCTCCTCACTCCACTTTGGCTCCAACTGCTCACCCCTGGTCACCATCTATGTGGGTACCCTTCCTACCTTTTTGGGCTCAGCAATAATTATGAAAATACCCCAATCACACAGAGGCAGAGGTTTGGCCGGGCACGGTGGCTCACGCCTGTAATCCTAGCACTCTGGGAGGCCAAAACAGGAGGATTGTTTGAGCTCAGGAGTTCAAGACCAGCCTGAGGAAGAGTGAGACCCCATCTCTACTAAAAAAAAATAGAAGGAAATTAGCTGGACAACTAAAAATACATAGAAAAACTTAGCCAGGCATGGTGGCACATGCCTGTAGTCCCAGCTACTTAAGAGGCTAAGGCAGGAGGATTGCTTGAGTTCAGGAATTTGAGGTTGCTATGAGTGAGGCTGATGCCATGGCACTCTAGCCTGGGCAAAAAAAAAGAGGCAGAGGTTTGATGAGATTACAAAGCCCATGTACTTTTCAGTTGACCACAGTGCCCCTCTGTGTCAAAAGAGGAAAAATTCAATACTTTAGGTTTATCTCATTAATATAATACAAATAGCTCAGTTTTAATTTAAATAACTGATGTGCATTCATTGCCAGAAATTATTTTTCTGCCAGTCATCTGACCAGACCATTATGTCAAGTCATTTCTAATTATCTACTAAAGCAATTACAAAGCCAACTTTCATGGAAAAGAGAATTTCCTTTGAAAAGCATTTTCTTGTGCATTCCCTTTATTTAGCTGAAATAAAATACACTGTAATGAGAATGATCCTCTGACATCTGTGAAAGTTTGATAAGTTATAACTTTCCAGGAGTGATTTTTGTGAGGTTTATAGAGATGAATTTATCCTACTGCAGTAGTTCTTGTTAAACCAATCATATTGTTTTAATATTGATTGGTGTGTAGTATACCTGGAGAAAGAATTAGGAAAGAAATGAATCTATGGCACAGCTCAGGCCACTGCCTGCTCAAGTCACTCAAGCCTAAATTAATCATGTATTTGATCATCAAAAGAATTTAAGAACAATTCTGGTATTTTGTATTGTTCTAATGTGAACTTTTAGATTTAACTATTATTTCTACAAAAATGATTCAGAGCACTATCTGATGACTATTGAAAAACAAGCAGTAAGTGCCCTTTAACATTCATAAAGGCCAAGTGCAATGGCTCACACCCTGTAATCCTAGCACGTTAGGAGGCTGAGGCAGGAAGATTGTTTGAGACCAGAAGTTCCAGCCCAGCCTGGGCAACATAGCAAGACCCTGTCTCTAAAAAATAAAAAATAGCCAGGCATGGTTGTGTGCGCCTGCAGTCCCCGCTATTCAGGAGGCTGAGGCAGGAAGATCTCTTGATCCCAGGAGTTTGAGGCTGTAGTGAGCTATGATCGTGCCACTATATTCCAGCCTAGTGACAGAATGAGACCCTGTCTCTTAAAAAAAAAAAAAGAAGTTCATAAACTCCATGAGTTTTAATTGTAGTTTTCAAAAGAAAGCAAAAACAAATCAAAACTCATTGGTAACTATTAAGCCCAACTGTTGACTATGAAATTTAAAGAGAACTCTATGAAGCATCTATTCTGCCTTTTGTATCCAATGATTTTTCAGGGTATTCAAAATACCTCTAGTTGATAAAATTACATTCTACAGAAGAATTTAACCCATGGAAAGAATGATATGATTAGATAATCACCATTTTTAACTCCTATTAAAATAACTAAGCAACAATCAGTGGGCAAAGCCATTAGTTAAAAAATTGATAGGGAACCTTACAATGATGGGATGAGATTGTCACTACTTATATCCAGTGATCATTATTAGCATCACTAAAACTGGAAAACATAGACATTGTGAGCCTCTGGGCATGATACCATAGAAAATGCATACTTGAAGTATATAAGAAAGAAATGACATATTTGGAGTTTACTAGAAATACTTAAGAAAACAAAGGAGGTGGGAACCAAAAAGAGGTAAGAGTGGTAAAATCTTGAAAACTGTTAAATCTGGGTGGCGGTATACGGGAGTTCATTATACTGGTCTCTCTTAAGTATTTTTATTATAAAAAAGTTTTTTTGGTTTTTTTTTCTTTAACTCTAATTGACAGATTATATAAAAAGTTTTAAAATAGCTTTAGTGTTTTGGGAATGACAAGATTAAGAAGAAAATTACTTAATGTCTTTTTTTTACAACCAACATTGATTATGTCTATGTTTCATAATGTTAGATAGTTGTCATCCCCATACTTATGAGAGTCGACCTATAAAGTTACAGAATTAATATCATTTCCCTTTGACAGATCTTTCGCTAGACCATTCTGACCTAGTTGCAGAGTTGTTGAAGGAGCTGTCTAACCATAATGAACGTGTAGAAGAAAGAAAAATCGCCCTCTATGAACTCATGAAACTAACACAGGAAGAATCTTTCGGTGTTTGGGATGAACACTTCAAAACAATATTGCTTTTATTGCTTGAAACCCTTGGGGATAAAGAGGTAAATGACAGAATATGTAAACAATAGCCTGTCCTTCCTGTCTCTTTTAGATTGCCTATTAATCAGGTACTGCACAGATTTGGAAATTGGGAAAATAAGTCTATTCTGCTTCTTTCTGCATGAAATGTTCACTATAAAGTACTTTTTCTTCACCAAGTAGCTCAACAATGTTGAACAGTTAACAACAGGAAAAATGAAAGGCTGCATGCTGAATACCTTATAGAAAAGTATATTTAAATTAGTCATTCAGAAGTAAAACTTCCTTTTATAGTCAGAATATGGTTGGTTCTTGATTTCTTGCAAATATAGAAAGTGTGATACATGTTTTCAATTAGAGATGTGAAAACTTAATTATGTAATACAGTACATACTTCATGCAGTTGTCTGTAATTCCCCCCCAATGTTAAGAAATTAGCATTAAGTTACAGAAATTAAAAATGTTAAAGAGTATCTATAACCTAAAATATTAAAAACATTTAAATGTTCTTCTTAGCCTACAATCAGGGCTTTGGCATTAAAGGTTTTAAGAGAAATCCTAAGGCATCAACCGGCAAGATTTAAAAACTATGCAGAACTGACTGTCATGAAAACATTGGAAGCTCATAAAGATCCTCATAAGGAGGTAAGTCACCTGAGATCTAAATTATTTTATTCTCATTACTACATGAAGCATGTAAATATTGTATAAAATGTACTCTTATTAATCATTTTCTTACTTTAATATTCAAGATAACACCTCATTAAGTCACAAACATATTTTTTTCTATTAAATGAATTATGTTGATATTATGCCTTTAACCTAAAATAGGGCTAGCTCTAGGAAATAATTTACCTGATTTCATTTTCTCCTTCACTTCACTTTTAGTTTTCTAGTTAGAATTCACCAGTCTTATCTTCACGTTTCACGTAGCAATAAGGATTTGATTTTTTTAAATTGCTAATAGAGATAACAAATCATTGTTATTTTTAAGTGGCAAATTGCCTGTAGGAGCTATATATATGTTACAAGTTTATTCAATAAAGTAATACAGGTGTCCACTTCAGCAGCACATACAATAAAATTGAAACAATACAGAGAAGATTAGCATGGACCCTGCACAAAGATGACACAAATTCATGAAGCATTCCATATTTTTCAGCCTCCAGATGACAGAGAGTAAAAAGCCAGGGCCTTAAGTCATACAAGAACAAAGAAATTAATTCTGCCAACAAACTGAATGAGTTCAGAAGCAGATTCTTGCTCAGTGAGATCTCCAGACAAAAATATAGCCCAGTTACCATCTGGAGTGAGTCTTGTCAGATCCTAACCAGAAACCTGGATTCCTGGCCCACAGAAACTGTGAGATAATAAATATGTGTTATATTAGGAAAATTTTAAAAAGTAGTGAGTTTAGCTTTCATGAAAAATTTCTATAAACTTGTTTCATTACTTTCTAGTCATGATATCTCCTCGATTACACCAGTGACAATGATTAAATAACCATGAGGATTTTTATGATAATCTCAGAAAGAATTAGAAAAGGAAATTTCAAATAAGAACTACATTTCGGCCAGGCGCGGTGGCTCACGCCTGTAATCCTGGCACTCTGGGAAGCCAAGGCGGGCAGATTGCTCAAGGCCAGGAGTTCGAAACCAGCCTGAGCAAGAGCAAGACCCCGTCTCTATTATAAATAGAAAGAATTTAATTGGCCAACTAATATATATAGAAAAAATTAGCTGGGCATGGTGGCGTATGCCTGTAGTCCCAGCTACTAGGAAGGCTGAGGCAGCAGGATTGCTTGAGCCCAGGAGTTTGAAGTTGCTGTGAGCTAGGCTGATACCACAGCATTCACACTAGCCTGGGCAACAAGGTGAGACCCTGTCTCAAAAAAAAAAAAAAAAACTACATTTCTAAGAAAAAGCACCTGAATAATAGCATTAAGTGTCTCTGGTAGAACCAAGACATTAGCAAAAGGAAAGTTAAAAAAAGAAAATTAAAATAGCAGTGAAGGCCGGGCATGGTGGCTCACGCTTGTAATCCTAGTACTCTGGGAGGCCAAGGTGGGTGGATCGTTTGAGCTCAGGAGTTCAAGACCAGCCTGAGCAAGAGTGAGACGCTGTCTCTACTAAAAAAATACAAAGAAATTAGCTGGACAACTAAAAAAAAAAATATATATATGTATATATATTTAAAAAAAATTAGCCAGGCATAGTGGCACACACCTACAGTCCCAGCTACTCGGGAGGCTGAGGCAGGAGGATCGCTTGAGCCCCAGGAGTTTGAGGTTGCTGTGAGCTAGGCTGGCGCCACACGCTCAGCCCCAGCAACAGAGTGAGACTCTGTCTTAAAAAAAAATAATTGCAGTGAGATAAGATGAATCAAAGCCAAATAAATGCAAAAGCTACAACCATAAAACTTTCAGAAGATAGCAGAGGAATATCTTTGTTATTTTGAATTAGGCAATGGTTTCTTAATATAAATCCAAAAGCAGAAGCAACTAATTATAAAAACAAATTGGACTTCATCAAAATTAAAAACTTTTGTGCTTCAAAGGATACTATCAGGAAAGTGAAAATACAGCTCACAGAATGGGAGAAAAATTTTGCAGCTCATATACCTGATAACGTACTAATACCTGTAATATACAAAAGTAGTCTTACAACACAACAGTGAAAAGACAACCCCGTTTTTAAATGAGCAAAGAATCTCAATAGATATTTCTCCAAAAATTTATAAATGGTAATAAGCACATGAAAAGATGTTCAACACTATTAGTCATTAGGAAAATGCAGCTAAAGCTTCAATGAAATAACACTTAACATCCACAAGGAAGACAGATAGTAAATGTTGGTGAGGATGTGGAGAAATTGAGGTAATTTACTTTTTTAAAGTAATTGGGGTAATTTACTTTTTAAAAAGATTTCAGTGAGCTTTCTAGTAGAATGACTCATAACTTTTAAATCTATCTGGATTGTTATATAGCTTTTTTAAAAATTCAGCTGGTATTTAGTAGTGATAAATCTATAGCATCTCACTGAAAGTTTAAAAAATACTATTTATTTATTTATTTTTTATTTCGGCATATTATGGGGGTACAGATTTTAAGGTTTCAATAAATCCCATTCCCCCCCTCCCCACAAGTCTGAGTCTCCAGCATGACCATCCCCAGATGGTACACATCTCACTCATTATATATGTATATACCCGCCCCTCCCCTCTCCAAACCCCCCAATACCCTATTACTGTAGTACCTATGTGACCACTTAGGTGCTGTTCAGTTAATACCAATTTGCTGGTGACTATATGTGGTGCTTGTTTTTCCATTCTTGGGAAACTTCACTTAATAGTATGGGTTCCAGCTCTAACCAGGAAAATATAAGATGGGCTATATTCACCATGTTTCTTAGAGCTGAATGTACTCCATGGTATCATATACACATTTTATTAATCCATTCTTGATTGATGGGCACTTGGGCTGTTTCCACAGCCTTGCAATTATGAATTGTGCTGCTATAAACATTCTAGTGCATGGCCGGGGCGCGGTGGCTCACGCCTGTAATCCTAGCTCTCTGGGAGGCCGAGGCGGGCGGATTGCTCGAGGTCAGGAGGTTCAAAACCAGCCTGAGCAAGAGCGAGACCTGTCTCTACTATAATAGAAGAGAAATTATTAGCCAAGTAATATATATAGAAAAAATTAGCTGGGCATGGTGGTACATGCTGTAGCCCAGGTACTTGGGAGGCTGGAGCAGAAGGATTTCTTGAGCCCAGGAGTTTAGGTTGCTGTGAGCTAGGCTAATGCACAGGCACTCACTCTAGCCTAGGCAACAAAGCGAGACTCTGTCTCAAAAAAAAAAAAAAAAAGGCGGGCGGTGGCTCACGCTGTAATCCTAGCACTTTGGGAGGCCGAGGCGGGCGGATTGCTCAAGGTCAGGAGTTCGAAACCAGCCTGAGCGAGACCCGTCTCTACCAAAATAGAAATAAATTAATTGACCAACTAAAAATATATATACAAAAATTAGCCGGCATGGTGGCGCATGCCTGTAGTCCCAGCTACTCGGAGGCTGAGGCAGTAGGATCGCTGAGCCCGGAGATTGAGGTTGCTGTGCGCAGGCTGACACCACGGCACTCACTCTAGCCTGGGCAACAAAGTGAGACTCTGTCTCAAAAAAAAAAAAAAAAAAAAAAAAATTCTAGTGCAGGTGTCTTTTTTGTAGAGTGTCATTGGATCTTTTGGGTAGATGCCCAGCAATGGGATTGCTGGATCAAATGGTAGATTCACTTGTATCATTTAAGGTATCTCCATATTGCTTTCCACTGAGGTTGAACTGTTTGCAGTCCAACAGTGTAGGAGTGTTCCTCTCTCTCCGCATCCACGCCAGCATTTATTGTTCGGAGACTGTTGATAAAGGCCATTTTCACTGGAGTTAAGTGATATCTCATTGTGGTTTTGATTTGCATTTCCCTGATGATTAGAGATGTGGAGCATTTTTTCATATGTTTGTTGGCCATACTTCTGTCTTCTTTAGAAAAGTTTCTGTTCAAGTCCTTTGCCCACTTTTTAATAGGGTTATTTGATTTTTTCTTCCTGATTTTCATGAGTTCTAAGTAATATCTAGTTATCAGTCCTTATCGGATGCATAGGATGCAAAATTTTTCTAAAAAAATTCTATTTAATATTTGTAGTTTAGTATACATTTTCCAACCCAAATAAGGCCTGTGTAGCATCCCTATTTTTACAAAATATAAAATTGACATTCTTAAGGTGTTACAGCTGAAATTAACCCTAGGTCTTCTGACTTCCAGTGTATTTTTTTTTTCAATGTATTTTCCACTATTCCTTTCTAAGCACCTTTGATCAATGGAAGTCATAAGAGAGACACTGACAAGTAGCATAAAAAGCAATTATTTTTACATGTTTTTAAGATCATCTTTAGAGATTGCAGATTCTAATAAGAAGATAAACAACCATTTCTTCTCTTCACTGCAAACCCAGTGTTTTGCCCTCCCAAACCCAATACAAAAGGAAAGAAAATCATCATAAAAAGAAAGAGGAGTAGTATGTTAACTTTTAGTAACACATTAATAATGATTTTTTATTTTATTTCTTATTAATGCGACACAAAGGGTACTAGCGTTCCTTGAGATGAGAGTTATTAATAATGAACAGGGCCTCAGCATAGATGATGCAGGAGACTCCATTCACATTATACCCTAGATGAATAGAGCCTCCACTCCCTACCACAACGAGGTCAAAATTTTATTTAAAAACTACTTTTGCCAACAGTAAAAGAACACAAAAGAAGGTAGAAAGGTATAATAAAGCCCCATATATCCATCATCTAGCCTCAACAGCTATTGACATTTTGCCAATCTGTTTTACTGTACCCTCATATTTTCTATGTGTGGGTTTACTGTATTTTCAAAGCAAATTCCAAATATCATGTCATATTAAATGCTTCATGAAATTTATACTTACAGAACATAGTATCACATTTTAAAAATTACTTTCTGGCTTAATTTCCTGTTTGTTTTAGGTGGTGAGATCTGCTGAGGAAGCAGCATCAGTATTGGCCACTTCAATTAGTCCAGAGCAGTGCATCAAAGTGCTTTGTCCTATCATCCAAACTGCAGATTACCCAATTAATCTGGCTGCAATCAAAATGCAAACAAAAGTGATAGAGAGAGTGTCCAAGGAAACTCTTAACCTGCTTTTGCCGGAGATTATGCCAGGCCTGATACAGGTAAGCAACAAAACTTAGAGAGGAATAAGCTATAATACAGTTGGGGTTTGGATATTTTAGGTACTTTCCAGGCAAAACTAGTGGCATGATCAAACCTTCCTGTTGTCTATGATGTTCAGGACAAAGACTTCCCATAACTAGCCAGTGTGAGAATGAATGTAGCCAATCGGTGCGAATGTAGTAAAATATACATAACATAAAATTTACCATTTAACCATTTTTAAGTGTTCAATATAGTGACATAAAATACATCCACAAAGTTGTACAGCCATCACTACTGTCTGTGTCCAGACCTTTTTCACCATCCAAAGCTGAAACTCTGTACCCATTAATCATTAACTCCCCATTCCTCCCTCCCTCCCAGCCCCTGGTACCTCTGTTCTGCTTTCTGCTAGGTTCCTCATATAAATGGAATTATACCGTATTTGTCCTTTTATGTCTGCCCTATTTCGCTTAGCATAATATTTTCAGGCTTCATCCATGTTATAGCATGTATCAGAATTTCATTCCTTTTTATGTCTGAATAATATGCCATTTATGTATATACTATAGTTTGTTTATCCATTCATCTGTTGATATTTATTCATTTATCTATTGATTGTTTCCTTTTTTTTTTTTTTTTTTTTTTGAGACTTACTCTGTTGCCCAGGCTAAAGTGCCGTGGCATCAGCCTAGCTCACAGCAACCTCAAACTCCTGGGCTCAAGCAATCCTTCTATCTTAGCCTCCTGAGTAGCTGGGACTATAGGCATACGCCACCATGCCCAGCTAATTTTTTCTATATATTTTTAGTTGGCCAATTAATTTCTTTCTATTTTTAGTAGAGATGGGATCTCACTCTTGCTCAGGCTGGTTTTGAACTCCTGACCTTGAGCAATCCACCCACCTCGGCCTCCCAGAGTGTTAGGATTACAGGTGTGAGCTACCACGCCTGGCTGATTGTTTCCTTTTTATTACATAAATACTGCACAAACTTCTTGTATTATTATCTTGTATTCTCTATGAATATATCTAGAAGCAGAATTTCTAGATGTTGCCAGATATCTCTGAAAAATTATTGTACTAAATTACAGTCATAGATGTGTTGTGTATTTCTCTATCTACACAAACCCATGCATGTAAACATGAATAAATGGGATTATATTTTGGAACATGCTTCATTAACCATATATTGTGAACTCTTTCCATTTAGTAAATAATATTTTATAATGTAATTTTAATGGCTGACTAATATGCCTATATTTAAACCTCTTCAAGGCTGAGAACAGTGGCTCGCACCTGTAATCCTAAAACACTCTGGGAGGCCAAGGCAGGAGGATCATTTGAGCCCAGGAGTTTGAGGTTGCAGTGAGCTATGGTGATGCCACTGCACTTCAACCTGGGCAACAGAAAGAGACTCTGTCTCAAAAAAAAAAAAAAAAAAACCTCTTTTTAAAGAGAATTAATCATTCATTACTTTGCTTTGCTTTTCTATGCTTTTTTTTGAGACAGAGTCTCACTCTATTGCCCTGACTAGAGTGCCATGGCATCAGCTGCTCATAGCAACCTCAACTCCTGGTCTCAAGTGATCCCCCTGCTTCAGCTCCCAAGTAGCTGGGACTACGGCATGCGCCACATGCCAGCTAATTTTTTCATATATATTAGTTGGCCAATTAATTTCTTTCTATTTATAGTAGAGATGGGGTCTCGCTCTTGCTCAGGCTGGTTTCGAACTCCTGACCTCGAGCGATCTGCCCTCCTCAGCCTCCCAGAGAGCTAGGATTACAGGCATGAGCCACCGCGCCCAGCCCATTACTTTGTATATCTATAGGGTTATATTTTTAATTCTGTTCTAAGTTTAATATTACTCACTAAACTGTGAGGTCCTAAGATAAGATCCAAATCTCTTTTTCTGTTTATGCTTTTGTGATAAATAAATATTTGCTGAATGAATAATTTAAGAGTATGAAGATATTAGCAAAGAGCTGTTGTGGCTTTAAGTTCTTGTCAATTGCTTACTTCCTTTCATGTTAGCTTGATGCAGAATCTTACAGTATACATGATTTTTGGAAATAGGTATCTTACCTATCAGAAAAGCACAAGAACTCTAATGAATTTAAATATTAGCATTTCAATTTTTTGCTATAAACTATTAAAATTAGAATATATAGATAATAGGACCAGAGCAATGAGAGGAAAGAAGACAATGGCAATATAGTTTTTGAATGCCTTCAAGTTTTCTCACCAAAAAGTTATCTCACTGAGCAACTAGGATTGCATACAAAAAACATGAAAAACATCTTCAGTAAAATTAGGGAAATATATCCCAGTGAACCCCAGAATATGAGCAGATAGAACCAAACCACCACCAGCACCAGCAGCAAATTCCCCTGGGGATCTCAGTGGTATGGAAAAGTATAAAGGAAAATCAAAAGTTACTTTTAAGATCCTGGTGCCAATGTGTACTCTCCTGCCTTTGTGCCTTCCACAGTTGGATGACAGCAATAAGGCCATCACCAGATGCCGGCACCTTGATATTAGACTTTCCAGCCTCCAAAACCATGAGAAATAAATTTCTTCTCTTTATAAATTAAAAAGACCCTCATGCCAGAGAATCACACAAGTGCTCACCCCTAAAAGAGAGATCCCTATTCTGAGTGAAGAACTAAATATGCATAATTTAAGTGAGAAAAAATTACAGGTGAAAACAGGTACTGTATGGAAGGCCAGATCATGCTGGGGTGGCCTGGATCCTCAAGACTTTTAGAAATACCTCACAAAATTTCCCTTCCAGAAAGAGCTGCTCATTTTGGAAAAACTCCCTGTAATAGAGTCTTCACTGAGCTCCTATGATAGCAATCCTTTGGCAGAGGTGGCTACACAGAAAGATCATATTTTTTAATACTTTAAGATAACAAGAAGGAGGAATCCTGCAGCAGTAAAGCTAGAAAAGCTTTCATAGCCCAATGTCACCCCACTACACAGAAAACTTTTCTTTAAAATATGAAATATATAAAAGCCCATTTCAGTTACATATGAGTGACAGAAAAGGGTTGTGGGGGTCTAGCCCCATACAAAGATATTACCTACCCCTTCCCCTCAAAAAAGAGGAAGAAAATAATGGCCTGAAGTATACCTACAATGAAGGTACACTAGAAAAATATGGCCACAAAGCAAATGGAAACATAAACCCAAATTTAAGAAAAAAAGGTAAAAAAGAAATGTAAGAAAACAAGAGCTAATAAAAAGCATGAATCCAAATTTTTAAAGCTCATAAAAAGAAGAATTAGACAATAGGTAAATTTAAAGACAGAGCAGTCAGAGCTCAAGGAAGAATTTTTTACTGTAAATCCCTAGCGAGATATACCCTAAAGATGAAAGAAACCACAAAGAAATCCTGAACTGCATTCAATATATTCATAGTTAGGAAAAATAATGAGCTAGTTATTATATAGAATAACTATATTGGTTATTCTATATTCTGTAGTCATTAGTATAAAATAGAAATAACATTGGTACATATATATATATTATATATATGTCAGGATAAAGCAAATAACGGTGGCATAAAATAAAAGAAGTAAATCTTAACTTTAAATTGGATATGTCAGAGTGAAATTATTATTTAATTTCTTAACTCAACATGTCCTCTGAATCAGTATCAACCCAGTAACAGTGAGCATCCTTACCCAGATTGTGGTCTCCAAATACCATTTTCCACTCAAAGGAGTCAGGCGTGTTTGGAAAAATGACTGATTTCAGGTTTGGAGCAGGAAATGTACAAAATGAGCTTGGTAAATCATGTTTCTGAAAGCGAGAAAACAATTTGAGGTTCAAAAAGAATAATGCAATAATGAATTAAAATACCTCGATTTTAAAATGCAATTCATGAGTTCATATTGATATAATAATTGGCCAACTTTGAAGGTTACCAGGACACTAATTTATTCTGAAAATTGGTTAATAAAGTGAAATAATCAAAGCACATAGCCTACCTGCCCTATTTTCAGGATAACCAAGTATTTGATGAGATAAAGTACTTTAAGAAGAATTCTAGTTAGTAAGTACAGAAGAAATTATTGACTTATAAAATTATCATTTCTATTCTTTGACCTGTTGGTTTATTTTTTTAAAATTAACATTTTGGGGCTCCATGGAAACAATGAATGTATGAAGTGTTTTCCAGTGGTTGCCAAAATACTGAGGTGAAAAGATGATGGGGAGGGGTATATAATGAAGGGATTAAATTAACAACACCTGAACTTACTGATCAATCTTAAACATCACTGAAGGCCAAACAGCTACACATTATGTGTCTTTTGATGAGATGCACAACCTTTAACAAGTCTTCTTCCCTAAAACAATTGAACCTAAACCTAATCAAGCCTCTTGGTTTAACTGTCATTTTAAAGGAAGTTTAGAAAATAGAGAAACATGTTAAATTGCACCTTAAGGATACATTCAGTCAAATTCAGAATTTGTAATTCCTTTTCTTGTAGGAAATTTTACAAGAAAAATTGCCAAATTCCTTTAATAAAGAAGTGGCATGGGGCCGGGCGCGGTGGCTCACGCCTGTAATCCTAGCACTCTGGGAGGCCGAGGCGGGCGGATTGCTCGAGTCAGGAGTTCGAAACCAGCCTGAGCAAGAGCGAGACCCGTCTCTACTATAAATAGAAAGAAATTAATTGGCCAACTAATATATTTAGAAAAATGAGCGGGCATGGTGGCGCATGCCTGTAGTCCCAGCTACTTGGAGGCTGAGGCAGCAGGATTGCTTGAGCCCAAGAGTTTGAGGTTGCTGTGAGCTAGGCTGATGCCATGGCACTCACTCTAGCCTGGGCAACAAAGTGAGACTCTGTCTCAAAAAAAAAAGAAGTGGCATGAAAAAAGGGGGAGAAGAGGTTAAGAACTGTTATAGATTTAAAGAATCTTACGAGTCTAATCAACTTGAAAAAGAAGAACAAAATTGGAGGATTCACACTCCTGATTTCAAAACTTACTACTAAGCTACAGTAATGAAGACAATGTGATACCGCCATAATAGACTTACAGATCAATGGAATAGAATTCAGAATCCGGAAATAACCCTGACATTTACTGTCACTTGACCACAGTTTTGGGGGGGAAAGAACAGTATTTTTAACAAATGGTGCTAGAACAACTGGGCATCCATGTGAAAAAGAAAGAAATTGAACTCCTTCATCACACCATATACAAAAGTTAAGGAGTGATAACAGAAAATGGCAGAGTAAGGAGCTCCAAGAATTGATTCCCCAGGCTGGGCAGGGTGGCTCACGCCTGTAATTGTAGCACTTTGGGAGGCCAAGGTGAGAGTATCACTTAAGGACAGGAGTCGAAGACCAGTCTGAGCAAGAGTGAGACCCCATCTCTACAAAAAATAGAAAAATTAGCCGGGCATTGTGGTGTGTGCCTGTAGTCGCAGCTACTCAGGAGACTGAGGCAGGAAGATTGCTTGGGCCCAGGAATTTGAGGTTTCAATAAGCTATGATGACGCCACTGCACTGTAGCCTGGGCAACAGAATAAGATGCCATCTCAGAAAAAAATAAAAAATTTAAAATGAAAAAGAATTGATTCCTCCACCTAAGCAACCATTAAGCTAGCAAAAACAGGTAGAATCAACTTTTTTGAAACTCTAGGATCTAACAAAAAACAGCAACTAAGGGAGTGTAGTGAAAGAAAGAGGCTGCTAAAATTCAGTAAGAAAGTTACTGCCTGCCATTCACCCTGCGTTGGGGACAGTGGCCCACATTTGTGGTACAGCTTGCTGATGCAAAGAAACAACATGAACCTTATCTCAAAAAATTATGGTTATGTGTTTGATCTCTTTGGTGTTCCCTGAGAGACTGGCACAAAAACTCCTTTGTTTTGCCTCCCTTCAGGCTGAAGTAGGTTCCCAAATGTCAAAAACATTTGAAGACATATGCTACCTGTAGCCACCTGAGGCAAAGGAGAGCAGACAGGGCAAGCAGCAGACAGCTAGAGAAGCCTGGAAAGGAGGAGCTGGGGAAGAAGATACTTGGTGGAATAGGGCTTTGAAGTGTCATGAATACTAGGGAATCCACCAGAAGAATGTTCAGAAAAGACCTTAAAGGACCCTCAGCTTGGACCTCTCGATGATCTTTGGGACCCATACACACAGGAGGTGTGAAGGCTAACAGCTGTAGGCAGCCTCACTAAGCATTGAATGACTACCCCAGCTCAGAGTCAATCTGCAAAGACTGGGAGAGTTTGTGTTGGTTGTTTTGTTTTGTTTTGTTTTGTTTCGTTTCTCAACATATTATTGGGGTACAAATGTTTAAGTTACATATATTGCCTTTGCCCCACCTGAGTCAGAGCTTCAAGCATGTCCATCCCCCAGACAGTACACACCGCACCCATTAAGTGTGTGCTTTGTTTTTCCTTGATTCCAGGCTTTTAAGGAAATCTCTGTCAGGTCACTAGCTGACCACTGAGATAACAAACTTCAGTGACCACACACCATAAACAAAAATGAACTCAATGATCTAAATATAGGAAATATATCTTAGAAGGAAACAGGGATAAATCTTTATGACCTTAGATTTGGCAGTGATTATTAGATATGACACCCAAAACATCAACAAAAAAATGAAACAGATCAATTGGACTTCATCAAAATTAATAACTTTTGTTCATCACACAACATTATCAAGAAAGTGAAAAGACAGCTTACATAATGGGAGAAAATTTTTTCAAATTATGTATCTAATAAGGGTCTACTATCCAGAACATATATATATATAAAGAACTCTTATAACTCAACAACAAAAAGACAATTTTTAAATGGGCAAAGGACTTAGACACTTCTTCAGAGAAGATATACAATGGCCAAGAAGCACATGAAAACATGGTTGGTATCATTAGTCATTAGGGAAATGTGTGTCAAACTACAATGAGATACCACTTCACACCCACTGAGATGGCTGTAATCAAAAGAATGAAAATAACAAGTGTTGGTGAGGATGTACAGAAATTGGAACCTTCGTACATTGCTGGTAGAAATGTAAAGTAGCGTAGTTCCTGTGGGAAACAGTTTGGCAGTTCCTCAAAAAGTTATAAAATCATCGTATAACCCAGCAGTTCCACTCCCAGGTATATACCCAAAAGAAGTCAAAACAGATACTTCAAAAAATAGTTATACTTGAATGTTCATATCAGCACTATTCATAATAGCCAAAAGGTGAAAAGAACTCAAATGTCCATTTTAACTGATAAATGGATAAATAGAATGGCATATCATACAATGAAATATTAATATTATCCAGCCATAAATAAGAATGAAGTACTGATATATGTTACAACATGTATCAACCTCAAAACATGCCAAGGCCGGGCACAGTGGCTCACACCTGTAATCCTAGCACTTTGGGAGGCCAAGGCAGGAGGATCACTTGAGGCCAGGAATTCAAGACCAGCCTGAGCAGCATAACAAGGCCCCATCGCTACAGAAAATAGAAAGATTAGGTGTATGTTATACCTAAATTAGGTGTGTGGCATACACCTGTAGTCCTAGCTACTCAGAAGGCTAAGCAAGACGATTGCTTGAGCTTAGGAGTTAGAGACGCAGTGAACTATGATTGCGCCACTGCACTCTAGCCTGGGCAATAGAGATTGTGTCTTTTTTAAAAAAATTGCCAAATAACAGAAGCCAAACCAAAAAAGTCACATAGTATATGCTTGCATTTATATGAAATATCCAGTGGGTGCTTAATTAAGGGTACAGGCATATTTTTCAAGTAATGAAGTGTTTTGGAACTTGATAGATACGGTGTTTGTATAACAGTGTGAATGTACTAAATGCCATTGAATTGTGTATTTTAAAATGGTTAATTTTGTGTTATGTGAATTTTACCTCAATAAAAAATATTAACTGAAAATGGATCAAAGACCAAAATGTAAAAACTCTAAAACTATAAAATGTTAGAAGAAACATAGGCATACATCTTTGTCACCTTGAATTGGGCAGTGATTTCTTAGATAATACAGCAAAAGCAATTGTAACAAAATTAAAAATAAGTAGAATTGAACATCATCAAAATTAAAAACTTTTGTGCTTTAAAAGGACACCATCAAGAAAGTGAAAAGACAATAAAAGCAACCCACACAATGGGACAAAATTTTTGTAAGTCATAAATATGAGAAGGGACTTGTATCTATAATATATAAAGAACTTATGCAACTGAATAATAGAAAGAAGAGCTGCCCACAGTGGCGTGTGTAATCCTAGCACTCTGAAGGGCCGAGGTGGGGGGATTACTTGAGCTCAGGAGTTCGAGACCAGACCAGTCCAGAGGAAGAGTGAGACATGTCTCTACAAAAAATAGAAAAATTAGCCAGGTGTTGTCAGTGCACCTGTAGTCCCAACTACTTGAGAAGCTGAGGCAGGATGATCACTTGAGCCCAGGAGTTTGATGTTGCAGTGAGCTATGATGACTCCACTGTACAGTAACCAGGGCTACAGAGGGAGACTCTTATCTCCAGAAATAATAATAATAGAAAGGAAAATGACCAATTTAAAAAATGGGCAGAGCATCTTGTAGTGGGTTGAATGGTGACCCCAAAGATATCAGGTCTTAATCTGATCGAATTAGAATTCTAGAATCTGTAGATGTTAGAATCTGTAAATGTTACCTTATTTAGATACAGGATCTTTGAAGATATGATAAAGTTAAGGATCATGAGATGAGACATAATAATTCTGGGTTGTCCTGGTGATCCCTAAATGCTATCATAAGTGTCCATATAAGAGAGAGGTAGAGGGAGATTATACACACACACGCACACAGTGGAGAAGGTGATGTGAAGATGGGGACAAAAATTGAAGTGATTTGGCCTTAGAAATAAGGAATACCAGCTTGAGGTTTGTGGTAATTGTTAAACAGCCACAGGAAACTAACAGAGTCTGAGTAGACATTTCTCCGAGGTCATCCTCCTGAATGCAACCTGATAACTCTGATGTCACTCCCTGCTTAAAGCCCTTCAGGGTTTTCCATTGACAGAACAAGTCCGTATGTCTTGCTGCAGTTCTCCCAGCTGGCCACTGCCTACCTTTCCTTCCTACCCCATGTACTCCAATTATAATGAATTTATTTAACTCATAGAAAGCACTGCTCTCTCTCACTAATGTACTATTAGTACACAATGTACTGTGTACTTTTCTCTGTCTGGTATACTCATCCTCATTCCCCTTTGTTTTAATTTATTCTTGTCACCCTTCAGGTCTCAATTTAAAACACTTTCTCTGCAAAGTATTTTCTGACTATCACATTCCTAATCCCACTCTCTACCCCACAATACCTCCTGCCATGTGATTCGGTAACTGTTCTGAGACAAGATAGTGTGTATCTTGTTGGACACTGAATATTATTTAGCTGGCCTGTACTTGTCACATAACAGGCACTATTATAATTACAACTATATAAAAATGATGAGATAAAATAAAATCAACATAGTTTGATTTTATTACTTTTATTATGAAGAATATATTTTAGCTGGATATCTATTAATATTTTAATATTTTTATAGTTGTTTTAGAAAGATTAGATGATCAGGATTTTAGTGGAGATGAACTCATATACATTCAGATAATTGATTCAAAAATACTTTATGGATAAGTAAGAAAGAACCTGATAAAGAGGGCTAACATTAGGTTGAGGGTGCAGTAGGAGAAGTGAAAGGAAAGAAGGGCATGTCTGTGCCTGAAAAGGTTGAAAAGTTAACTCGGGTCAGCAGAGTTTTCTTTCCTCTGTATGCTCAAGATCTCATCTTTGAGTTACATCATCTGTCCCTGTTGAAAAGGTAGTTTTCTCAGATCTCCCAGGAGTTCTAACGATAGACTTTTCTCCCTAGGGTTATGATAATTCAGAAAGCAGTGTTCGGAAAGCTTGTGTCTTCTGCCTGGTGGCTGTTCATGCAGTAATTGGTGATGAACTAAAACCACATCTCAGTCAACTCACTGGCAGTAAAGTAAGTAATGCTACTTTGTTTTAAAGATGGTGGCTAAGTACATTCTTCAAAATTTAGTTCTGTGTATGGGTTAAAGGGTAAATTTGTTATTCTACTTTTAGTAAGTCAGGCTTTGAGCATACAAGTTGCCCTTATTCCTCCTGTTTTGCATTTTATCTGTTTCTGCTCTAACGTTTGTCACTCAGGTGAAGTCAGCAGTTTGGTAGGGTAGTTGGTAGATTTCTGTCAGAGAAAATGCCTACAGCTTCCGGTTATTTATAAAAACCAGCTAACTCCTTTCCCACTCCCACACCCAAATTGTTACCCCCAAGGACTGTTTAGTTCAGAATACATAGATTGTTGTGGTTGTATGTTCATGGATTACTTTATATCTCCCAAAATATGGAATACTTGAACATTTTATAAATTTTCCCCTTAAACTATGGTAATCAAATATTTGTTCTTTTTTCTCTTTCTATTATTACGATCCAAATTAATGGCGACTTTTACTTGGTATATTAAAATAAAAATTTCTGATTAGTCCTTAAGACTTAAAAAAATAAGTAAGTCTTGCTTTCTTCATTTCATTGGTACCACCAGAACTTTGAAATTTGTTCTAGAGGGTGGGAATAAACTATGATTGTCAAATTACGGCCTATGAGGCCGGGCGCGGTGGCTCACGCCTGTAATCCTAGCACTCTGGGAGGGCGGATTGCTCAAGGTCAGGAGTTCAAAACCAGCCTGAGCGAGACCCCGTCTCTACCATAAAAATAGAAAGAAATTAATTGGCCAACTAATATATATAATATAAAAATCAGCCGGGCATGGTGGCTCGTGCTTGTAGTCCCAGCTACGCGGGAGGCTGAGGCAGCAGGATCGCTTGAGCCCAGGAGTTTGAGGTTGCTGTGAGCTAGGCTGACACCACAGCACTCACTCTAGCCTAGGCAAGAAAGCGAGACTCTGTCTCAAAAAAAAAAAAAAAAAAATTACGGCCTATGAACCAGTTAGCAGGGAGCACTCACCTTCCTTTAAAGAGTTTCCCAAAATTCTAATAATTGTCATTACTATAGTCAAGTTTATTTTTCTAATAGCAAAAAGGCAGAATAAAAATACATACAAAGAAAAATGAGCTCAGGTACACATCGTACATTAAAGTATCTCTGCAAGTTATAGATTAAAGCAGTGATTCTTAACCCTTTCTTGGTTACAGACTACTTTGAGATTTAGGTAAAATCTCATCTCAGGTTAATACAGTGCTTGCTTCGATAGCACATATACTAAAATTAGAACGATGCAGAGAAGATTAGCATGGCCCTTGTGCAAGGATGACATGCAAATTCGTAATAAATAAATTTTTAAAAAAGAAAATTACATATGGAAACTTTTAGATGGTGGGATTCAGGGTTCAGGGATCCCCTGAATCCCGTGGACACCAGGTTAAAAACTCTTGGATCAAAGGATTAATGTTAAAAAAGGAAATTTTCAGAAACAATTAAAAGTCAGCATTTTATCAGAATACTAGCCCTCCAGTAATACTGTTACATAGGAAGACAATAGGTAGGTGAAAAAAATATTTTTAAATAACATTAGATGAATAAAGCATAACACAGAATTATATATGCATTGGTTACAAACTCCATAAAAAACATAATCTCGTACTGGTAAAGAATGCAAACTGACAGAAATCAAAACCATTCTTGTTAAGAATGGCAATAGCATGGTGGTCTGAGATCTTGGGCCCTAGAACCCAATTGCCTAGCCCATTTCTTACCCACCCCTGTGACCTGAGGCAGTAACCTAACTATTCTGTATCTTGATTTCCTCAACTGTAAAATGGGGAAATAAAGAGATAATGTAAAGCACATTATGTAACACATAGTGCTCAAATGTTTGTCATTATTGTTTTAATGGTAACTTCTTTTTCTGAGTTTACTTTAGTGTTTTATATTTTATCACTATAACATTTTTTGAAAAGTCATTATAGTATACTCAGTCATGAACAAACTCTAAGACTTAAAAAAAAATTTTTTTTGTAATTCTTAATTATCAACAATAACTTGGGCATTATAATAACCCCCACCCTAAAATCTATCTTTCAAAGCTCACACATATATATATAATTTTTTTAATAAGCATCTTATAATTTAGAGCAGCTTGCTCAAATGACATGTGTTTGGCTTGAATCTGCAGATGAAGCTACTGAATCTTTACATCAAACGTGCACAAACAGGTTCTGGAGGAGCTGATCCCACTACTGATGTTTCTGGACAAAGTTAGTGAAGCTCATCAAAGTGAACCAGGTCTCTCAAAGAAAGGACAGACAGACCACCCTCATCAATGAAAGGAAATTCTCAAATACATCTTTTGGAACTTAACCATTGTTTCCCAGTTTTAGTTTTTTGTTTTGTTTCATTTTGTATTTTCTGTAACAGAGGGCTACCCTCAGTCTGCATGTAAACTTTTATGATAGTTATTCCAAATTCAAGAAGAAGCAGTATTAACATCAATTGATCAATACAAAGTAATTTTTAATCTAATTCATCATTTCACATGTTTGTACTTCTTTGTCTTCCCATTAACCTTTGCCAGTGTTATGATTGTATAAATTTTTTTAAATGCTGGTTAAACAGGAATGCTTAAAGCTTTAAAAGTTTAACAGTCTAAAACATTTTTTTTTGCCTTTATTCAATTGCAGAATAATATTTTTATTGCTATTTTGAGTTTTGTTCCGTATCATGTCCTATGCTAGAAATATTGAAATGATGTGAAATAAAGCAGGACTAATTTGAACTTCAGCTGGACTCTGTTGGTGTGATGGTGATACATGTCATTAGTTGCAACCTCTTTGGGGTGATCTTAAGACCTCAAAGACATATGTTACAGAATCAGCCAGTTCTGTAAAACTGATATTGTTTGTTGGTTCTTGATCTTGCCATCTTTATTTAATACCGTGTCCCTTCTATGATCCCTTAAGAAAGCTGCACCAAATCATCTGCCTGTTTTTTTCTGGATACTTATTGAAATAGAAGGTTTTATTGCAGGGTTTGTTTTTTTTTTTGTTTATTTTTTTTTTTGGTTTGTTTATCTTTGTTGTGATGATGCTTTTTTTGTATTTATTAATATCAAATTCACTTATAAATAAACTTGATAATGGAAACAGACAAAAAAAATCAAGTGCATGTGTGTCCTTGACCGTCTTCTGTTTCTCACTTAATAAACAAACTAATTATTGAGACATGGAAGTCGACCAGCACCTTTTCTTTAAATGGTGGAACCTGGTTTCCTTTTACCATGAAATTGTCTTACTTGAAAACATTGATCCTGATGAGAGAGAAGATGGTGCCAAGGCTATCTTTGTATAATGGGCTCAAATTCTCTACCTCTTCAGGGCTAATACTTTTAACTGAGCTGCTGCCTATAGTGTCTTTTGGGAAACTACTTAAAGGGTGATTTTCTGTTAGCTTTTAACAAGTTTTTTTAATCACCTTTTGCTACACCTGTTCTTTTCATGTGCAGCCAACTTTCAGAAATTACCAGTTGTGGTAAAAGGCCAAATTAAATAATTTGGAACCAGGATACTAATGATTTCTCATCCTGACTTTTTTTTTTTAATCCTAACATAACGTGAATTTGATTGGAAAGGCAAATAGCTATTAGGGAAGCAGTTTGCTATTGTTACAGAGTTATCTGTACTTTCTTTGTTTAATTGAAAAAATGTAGAAATGTATGTAAAGAATTTAAGACAAGAGTACTGAAAGGATGATTTGTCATAGGCTTTCCCTTTGGTTTCTGTTCTAGCAGCAGGAAAATATAGTTTCTCTAAATCCTCTCCCTCTTACCTGTAACAATTTTGTTTTCTACTGTTAATTACATTGTGTATTTATAGTTCTATGCTTACTGTTGTGCATATACTGGCAATAAAACTGTACATAACATTACTTGAAAAAATGTATATCAATTTTTCTGTCTCATTGTCACTTATAACAAGGCGGTGTGTGTGTGTGTGTGTGTGTGTGTGTGTGTGTTTAACTTTAGAAGGTCTTGTATCAATGGTGTTCTCATGAATTTTATACATGTATCTGAGGAGAAAAGATTTATCAGGAGTAATAGCCAGAACCAATTGTATACAGCTGTATACGCATGTATACATTACAGCTTATCTTTAAGAAGAAAAGTCATTTTAAACATTGAACTCAGTAGTATTTTATATACCATGACCTTTGGATAGTTTGTAATCATTCTGAATCAAAATATTGATTTAATTTTGACATCTGGGTACAGTACTGCCTTAACTACTGTTGACAACTAAGTAGAATGACTTAAGCTGAATAATAACTTTAACTGAAAAATTAGATTAAGCACCTGGCAACAACAGGCACTCAAGAAATGAATTAACTACAAAACAGGAAAGTGTAATATGTCTAAATGAAAGCTTATATATGTAAACATGAAAGAAAATCATGTTTAAAATTCTATAATTTCATTTGATAAGACTTTAAGAAAGTTATAGATTATTTAAATAACTACATGCAATATACCCTTAATTTATTCATTCCAGAAACATACTGAGATGTCAACTATTAACAGATGACCACAAAAAACTGCTTAAATGTTTTCCTCCCACTTTTCTCACCCAAACTAATTATCAATGCCATTCATTTACTGTACTGCTCAGAACTAATTAAAAACATATAATTCCAGATTATAAAACACATTTGTTTCTTCTGGGTTTCAAAATTTATATTTGATTTGAACCTGAGTCTTCAAATTTGTAGTTAATTTGCTGTGTTCCTTCATATTTTATTCTTACAAACTTTGAGTCAAAATTACTTCACCATCAAGTTATATCTTACTGTAAAAGCCTGGGATCTTACATCTGGCCAGGTCTATTTGTAAATTCAAGTGTAGCTTGTAATTATGGATTTAGAATAACATTTACAGTAAATAGAAATGAGAATTAGTATGAATAATAAATAAATGAGGTTTTTTAAACCTTAACTTTTTATATCTTTGCTTCCTGTATTATTTTAGTTCATTTTATTGCAATTACTATAGTTTTGCAGCTTTGCAAAAGAAAGGTCTAGAATTCAGATATTAAAATACATCAGTTAAAAAAGTTATCCATCTTTATTGTACAACATTTGGAAAATAATGAAAAGCTGAAAAAGAAAAAATTACTTCTACCCTCACCACTTGAGGTAATCTGTATTGCTATTTTGTAGAACACTTTATGATAGCAAGTTTGGTTTAATATTGAAAACTGTAAGGAAACATTAAATTTGGTTAACCAGAAGATTGTTAAACATTTTGAATGCTTTGTTTCTTCTATGCATTTATTTAATAATATTTTTAATATATTAATTCTTTCTTATAAAAGGTAACTTCTAATGGCAGCAAAGTATTCCACTACATGTTTTCAGCATAATCCTGGGTTGTCAAAAATCACTGAATATGCTTATAACAAATACCTACATCTTTGGCAAACCTCCAATTATTTCATACTGGGCAGTTTTTAGATGGTTTTAATATGAAATTGCTAAATATAGAAAGTCATTGTTTATTTTAAGATATACTAGTTGCTTAAATCGCTAGGTTTAACTATTCTTTTAATAGTAATCTAAAATAGAACAAGAAAATAAGATTTCTGTATATATACCAGATTTTCAGTATTTCTAATTTACCTGCATTCATCCAATCAACAGATATCTGAGTACCTGCTTTCAAGGAGACAGAGTAAGGCAAACAATTATAATACAGTGTGGTTAGTGTTATGAAAGAAACAAAAGGTACTGTGATGGGAGCTGGGGGCCAGGGGAGGGGGCATCATGCAAAGTGTAATCATGGAAGGCCAAATGTGTCTGAAATGCATTGGGGAGTATAGAGTGGGGAAAGCAGAGGGGAGTAATAAATAAGGGAGTAATAAATAAAAAATAATAAGGCAGTGATGTATGAAATAGCAAGAAGCATTAGGGCATGTCGCAAACTTTTTAACCAATTATTTATTTTCATAAATGTGAAAAAAATCTCACATATTCCCCTATTCCTTAAAAATATCTGCAACAACAACAAAAAATCTATTGCATCCTTGTGACCAAGAAAATTTGGATATAGCCTTTGTTTTAGTGGCTTGTATTTTAAAAAGTTTTTCTTTCCTTGTAAAGTCATACTATTGCATTTCCTTTTTCAACCTGAACCTACCACTTCCTGTCCCTCCCAGCCGGCCATTGTTGCATAGTGTGGTTTGGCTGGGACATGGGATATCAGTGGAGGAATGACCCATGATGGAGTAATAGATATTCTAAGATATATATTCTATAATATTAATATATTCTAAGAGAACTAAGTCCACTGGAGACTTAAGAAGGAAAATAATGTAATTAAAATTAACATTGCAAACACTTCAATTTTACATAATCTGAAAACTTAAGAAGTGTAAGGTGTTTTAGTCTCCTTTTTTTTTTTTACATATCAGTCTCCACTAACCAGGTTCTGATGTCCTTTATTCGCTTACTAAATATTAATATTTGAGCACCTGCTATGCACTTAACACCCTTAAAGTCTGTATGCTGTAAATGCGTAGCCGTGGATGTGGTGATGGGAGAAATGCATTATTGTGACCTCGGAAATAAGAGTGGTACAAGAGGGGCTGGAAAGTGCCCAGGGATACTGCTTCTTGCAAACCATCCTCATCAGTGTGCATCCCCAAGATCACACAGCCTCTGGTCGTGAAATTGTATGCTGTATCGTGGTGAAATACCAACTATCCTGACTCAAGTTACCAATAAAATTTATCCTTCTGGCCCAGTGCGGTGGCTCACACTCACACTGCACTCTGGGAGGCCAAGGCAGAAGGATCACTTGAGGCCAGCAGTTCAAGACCAGCCTGAGTAACAGGGAGGCCCCGTCTTTACAAAAACTAGAAAAATTAGCCAGGCATGGTGGCACACGCCTGTAGTCCCAGCTACTCGGTAGGCTGAGACAGTAGAATCACTTGAGCCCAGGAGATTGAGGTTGCAGTGAGCCAAGATGATGCCACTGCACTCTAGCCCGGGGGTGCCACAGAGCGAGACTGTGTGCCCTCCCCCCAAAAAAGGTATTCTTCTGAGAAATAAATACTATAAATATAATTACATTCCATCTAAAAATAAATTATTCAACAAGTACTTGAACACCTATTCAAATGACTGGCCTTGTTCCAGGCACTAGGAATGTAACACTGAAAATACAGACAAAAATCTCTTCCTTCATAGAATTTATGTTCTAGTCACAAAGAAAAGACAAATAAGAAAAATAGCATACATGAGACAGTAGTAAGGATTAAACAAATCAGGGAAGGAGGATTTTTTAAAAAGGCAGGGATGTAATGGAATCTTACAAAGGCTGGCCAGCGAAGACCTCGCTGAGAGGGAGACTGAGCAAAGACATGAAGGAAGTGGAGTGTGGCAGGCAGATTAATAGCCTCCCAAAATGTCCATGTCCTAAAGCCCATAACCTGTGACTGTGTTACCATATGTAGCAAAAAGAGACTTTGCAGATGTCATTAAATTAAAGTCCTTGAGATGGAATGATTACTCTGGATTATCCAGCTGAGCCCCATGTAATTCCAGGAGTCCTTAGAAGTGAGAGAGGAAGGCAGGAGAGTCAGAGAAGAAGGTGAGACAGCAGAAGCAGGATCAGAGTCATGCAGGAATGCTGGAAAAAGGCAAGGAAACCAGTCCCCCCCCCCCAGAGTCTCCAGAAAAAACACAGCCCCTCCAATATCTTGACTTTAGCCCAGTGAAACTGATTTTGGATTTACCATCTCTAGAACTGTGAGATAATGAATTTGTGTTTTTTTAAAGCTGTCCAGTAATTTGTTACAGCACAATAAGAACCTAATACAGGGAGCTAGATCTGTGGTTGTCCATATATGTTGACTGTTTTAATAAACATCTCCAAATTGCAGTGGCTTTATAAAACAAACTTTTTTTTTCTCATTCACAGTATAGTGTAATGCAAGTTGGCCGGAGTGTGCTCCATGGGGACATTCAGGGATCCAGCTTCCTGGTTCAAATTAGTGGCTCCACCATCCCCTAGGCCTCACAGTCTTCCACAGAATACTTCCACAGTCATCACAGCATCTGATGATAAAGGAAGAAAGAGCATAGAAAATCACAGGGGAAAATTTAAATGGCTAGGCCTGGAAGAAGCAAACACGTCTGCCTGTGTTCCACTGGCCAGAACCTACATAGTCACGTGGGCACTTCTTGCAAGGGAAAAGTGTGCTTTATTTGTGTGCCTGGACAAAAGGAAATTGGTTTGATAAAATAACCAGTCTGCTGCTGTCCACTGGTTAGAAAGTGTCCATGCACACCCTTTGTTCCACACATGGAGCACAGTCACCCTTTCTACAAGGGACCCACTCACAACTCCAATTGAGTGGTAGCATCCACTCAAAGTCCAGCTCTCCAGTGACGTGAATCCTTTCCGTCAGATCAGGAGGGGATTCCTCATGCCTAATTACGAAATAAAATGACAAACTATATATACACAGTGCCCAGACACACAATATATGACGCTGGAGCAGGAAGTGATGGCAATAAAAAGGGAAGGGCTGGCCGAGGATAGAGCCAACTCTTAGGTTTCTGCTCTCGGGAAGGAACCCCCTTACCCACCTTGCTCTCTAGTTCCTGGCTCCACTCTTGGAACTTCCCCCACATCTTTTGCCGTATCTGAAGTGGGTATTGGGGATACCCTCTGTCAGTTCACTTCCAGCCCAAAGGTTGTTATAATTAGCTCCCCAAAGCTTTTTGGGTGTAGCCTCACTGTTTTTCAGGCAGTCCAATTTCCTCAGAAACTGATTCGACTTCTGATTTATCTGCTCTCCATTAATTCCATGTGTCAGTAACCACAGTCAAAAATGTTTTCCTAGTCCTCATTCTCAAATCAGCTGGGGGTTTTATTGTGGG